TATATTTTATGAAAATTCAGCAGTTTTTATGAACTTTCGGAATATTAAATGGAATAAATATGGTATATTGAATGATCATACGTTTTATATGTATATAACAGGCTTTATTTCAATCAGGGGCAACATGAAATGTTGTATATAATTCCTGCCATCCTGATCATCTTTAGAAATTAAAAGGTTGTCCTATTTATATGAAATTTATATGATAAACTCCTGTTTATGCACCATCCTTGTCTGTCTGTCTGTCATGCTCTCCATCCATCCATATATACTGGCAAAACAGTAGAATGTCTGGGCCTCCATGCCTATATTAGTCACTTATCTACTTGTTTATATATTCATATTTTCAATTTCCTTGAGAGTGTCAAAGTTTACTAAAATTTTAAGCCATTTTCAGAGTTATGGGTCTTGGGCATTCAAATATTTGACCAAGATTGCTCACACATTGAATTATCAGTGTTCAAGATGAGTTAAATTTTTTTATCTATTTTGTAAATCTTTTTTGTTTTATCAAAATTTGAAAAATAAAAATGTCCATGTCTCAGAAACATTGCATACATCCTGCTTCTCAGGTCTGTCCTCACTCAGTCTGTTCAAAAAAATTGAATACAATGTAGTTAAAAAAATGAAATAGTCTTACCTCTTTCAATGCAGACAGGAAAACACTGGAGGACGAATTTTTACAAGCATGAATTCATGCAGTGAAACAAAAGATATTCATGGAACGAAATGCCCACTGTTTCTCTCTATTGGTTATTTTTCTTTTCCAAATTTTCACCCTTGTTTTTCCCAGACAGGTTACCAAGTAAGTAAATTTCTCAGTATAGAAAAACAGCTCAAAATGAAAAATAGGATTTTTACCCAGTGTGCTTTATCTTCTAAGCAGAGTCATTAAAATTGCATTACTGAAGAGATGAATATTATAAATGGGTTTTGTATTTTCTGTTTTCATAAAAAAAACTCATTTTTTCAGCATGCTTTATTATAGAATTTGAAACATTTCAAGTGAAATTAATATGAACTGTAAAGGTTGAATGGGGACTGAATGGTTTAAGACACTTGAATACCCTTTTGGAACAGCTGGTCATAAACACACTTAGATCCCAGAAACATTAAATGTTACAATTTTGATTCCAAATCTTCAAATTCAATCCTTTTAAATGTTAGATCCTCACCCATCAAAATCTGACAGTATGTTCAATCTTCATCACTGGCGAATGACCTGAACTTCAGCCTTGGGAAGCTTGAGGTACTGTTCTGCACCTCTACTGACCAAGCTTCATGGCAACTTACATTGTCTCTCTCTTATTAGTGAAAAAGTTTTCTAATATACATATCTTTATATCTTATAATATATATAATTTCAATTATATGGTCTTAATAATTAAAGTAACACTTCTTTTGCCATACATGCATTTGACATTTTGGTCAGAACAGAAGCAAACTTGAATAAGATTAGATGATATAAAATTATAGATTTAAAATATAGATTTTAAGTTTTCCAACATTGTTGCATCAAAACATGCTAAAAATGTTTGTCACCGGAAAATTGGTATGACAAGAAATTATAGTCCTTGAGCTCTGTGACAGTTCTAAGGCTTCAGGGATCATTCTAAATATACATGTTTACAATAGGTCATTGGTCATATTGGAAAAAAAACACTGGAAAAAAAATAACTGAATGTACAAACATTCACCACCTTTTGGTTTATTTCTTACATTCTTTTAAAACTGAAATCAAACAGCGCGAGAAACATTAGCCAAAAGATTGTAAATTTAAGGTACACCGTCAAATTCAATGGTCATATTTGGTACAAAATTGGACGTGAGTTACGGCTGCAGTATTTCCACATGATGGAAGTTTTTTTTCAGCATATCTTTTGTCTAATACATGTACACCCCCAAAGTAAATCCTAGAAGTGATATGAAAGCATCTTGTAGCCTGTTATATAGGACACAGACGCTGTTTTGTAGATCAGTACCATGTGTTATAGATAGGTATATAGCAAAAATATCTTCAAAATGTTTGAAACTGGAAAATAATGAATTGCCTACTTGATACTGTATCTTTGATAAATAGGGGAGGTAATCAGGTAAAGCAGGGATGAAATGTTGATCTGCTTCCTCTGGGAATTTTCTGAGAAATCTGAGACTTGAAAATTATGTTTAAAGTAGCTAGAAGGGGCATTTTCCTGGCAGGTATCACAGATTTATGCTGTCTAGATATATATTTTTGTTTATAAAAGTTTTGCAGGATTTATGAAAAAAGATTACAGGTTTTCTATATATCTTCACAACATGTTTGAAAGTATTTGTTGAAGTTTCGTGAAGATAAGTCCATGTTTGTCCGTTGAAATAGGATTCCTGTTACTTGCTGCTGATAAACACAGCAGAAATGGCTGTTTTTTCAGGACACAATTTTTTATTGGCAAAATTGTTTGGTACGTAAAAGACCAATTTTTGTATTGGCAGATTGGTTCTCTAATGTTTCCTACGTCTTTACCAGGCATGGTAGGTATGCATAAATGTGAACCAGTCTTCATCTATTCCACATTAATCACTAACATCTAATGGTACACCATGACAGATATATATTTTCTGCTTGCCGTGCTGTTCAAAAAATGGTAAGTAGAAATCAGTTAAACAGATGAAAATATTGTAGAGTTAGCGATGCATTTTGTAAAGATATTTATCAAGACTATATTACACAGAGTAATGTATTTTTTGAGCCAAATTTGTTGGGAAGTGTCAAAGTGCCGGCTTGAAGATAAATTTGCTAACAGTTGTTCTGTCTAGGGGTGAAAAATGACAGCAAGAACCAAGACGAGAGATAGGGTAGAGGGTAGTGGATAGTTTATCATCAGTTCAGCTTCAGTGAAGCTATGAGTGAATAGTTCTATTGTTTCTCTTCTGAATTTTGATTCTAAGTAGTTTTATAATAATGAAACTGTCAGGAAAAGCATAAAAGATGAAGTAATCTATATATCAGATGTAGAATAACTTTTTCTCAACATTTATTTATTACAAGTTTTCCTCATACAGTTACACTAAGACTTTGCAGTATCTGTTGGTTAAAATATTCTCTTGCTTTTCTTAAACTTTTTTAAATGAAACAAACATGCAAGAATGAAATGTTCATTATAATAAAGGAGAGGCGATTCTTGAAGTACATTCTATATAAGTTCATGTAACCCACTTAGTTACCTTTCAATAGTTAATGAATAATGCCAACAGTTGTTTTAGTGGATAAAAGAATGATATAGCCCCCTTCCCCCCCTCGGATGTCAAGCGTCCAATCAATCATTGGAACTTGTTGTTTGTCAGAAACATGATTGGCACTTTCTGATACAATACAGCATAAAAGAAAAACAAAAAAATCACAATCTTGCTGATATCTGGAGATATTTGCATTGTTTGGAGGCTGATACGCATTGTTTGCATTGGATTCTGATCTGATTAAGGGGTTTTGAGATGATTTTTTCTCTCTCTTTGTAAATTGATAAACGAGTGATTGTTTTTACAGAAATTTATCTTGATATACTATATAAAATCTGATTGCTGGGTGTGTTAATATAACTTCATACCAATGTGAAACCTCTGTATTATCTTTTTTCTCTGTACTATAAAAAATCTTTAGATATATTTCTGGCAAAAAAAAATCTTCTTGCATTTTCTTTACATTCTGAAACAAGTATAATATAATTATGTTTTCAATCAGAATTTTGTAGACCTATGATCACTTTTTAAACATAATTGTTTAGCTAGCTTGGAGTCGGCTTATCTATGTGTAGTGCTGCATGACATTGATAGGGAGAAAAAACTGTACTTAGAGTGTCCAATCAGTCTGCTGCTGTTTTATACAAAATTGGGACCCAGACTTATAACAATACTGTCTTATCAGTGAATATAAATATAATAATTTGTCAGACTGTCCATACAGAGTGGGGACTAGTACTTGGTATTGCACTGTATCAGATATATATTTATCATGCTGATTAATTACTTGAAGTTTTGGCCAGGTATTTTCACTTTTTCATATTAGAATATTCTAGTAATGAAATCTCACATAACCTGCTGGTTTTTCACGATATCATTTGTCATAGGGCGCTGTATCAAAAGGTTTAAATTTTATTTTGGCGACACTGTCATCTTCTCCATGATGATATTGCCTGTAAAATGAAATTGAACAGGTGTCATTAGTCCCCGTATACTGTAATGAAATTGCAATTTCCTACATTCATTTACATAGAAATTTCATTAAATGTTGGTTTAATACGAGATCTCTTTTGAGGAAATCTCCATATATCCTGTACATACTTTAATGCAGTTATTTAGGAACAGCTCACAGGTCTAATTAAGATGATACGTTCTAGTGTTTAGGTAACAAGATCACATGTTTTGATGTATGTTCAAATATTCACACCTGAATATTTTACTTCAATAATTATAATATCCATTTATAAGTATTGTTGAGTTTTGTGTATGCCATGTTTGAAGGCTGAAAGTGATGAATTTTACAATGTTACATTAAAGGTTTACCATATAACAATCACTTGATGTCATCTGTAAATAATAACAATCTTGTATGCTTCGACTACTTCAAATTTTACTTTGATATATTAACCACTCAGCCTTATGCCCTTTATGATTAAATCCCAAAACACCCTAAACTTTGAACCATGAAATATCACACGATAAAAACAAGCCAAATGTGTTTTGTTACCTATAAGTACATATTTATTTTTTTCAATAATGCGATGATATAAAATTGTAGATATTCTTAATGCAAATACGGGACACGTTAACTTGGTTTACTGTCCTCAAACTTTTCCTTAAACACTAACCATTAATTGTTAATGTTTTAACAGAACAAAAACTGTTCCTAGACAATATTTTCCTTGGTATTAATTCAATTAACAGCCAATATTTATTGTTATGTCACAAATATGAATTGTCTTTCCTTAATAAATAATTATCATTTCCTTTTCATCTATTTTCAGATATGATTCCCCATTTTACTGTTGAGCCATCTTCAGGCGTAGTATCCCAGAATTCACCCACAACTCTTTCCTGTCGTGTCGAACCTTCGAGTTCCGTCGTACGATGGAAGTTCAACGGTGAATATTTTGAGGAAAATAACCCGTATGGATTTAAGCAGATAGGAACAGATTTACACTTGTCTTCTCTGCCGGACAATGGTCACGAATCCACGTTTCAGTGTGTAGCTCAAAGCACACTTGGAACACTACTCAGCGTACCAGCAAAAATCTCTAAAGCAGGTAAAACTCCCATTATTATGTCACATGGGTAAAAGTTTTCAGGATTATTCCTGACGTTCAGGATTGTCCCCTGAATGCCTTCTGTTTCCTGTGTAAAACTATAGAAAACACTGCTTAATTCAGGATTTTCAGGATTTTTTAAATTTCCAACTTTTACCCATGAACTATTATACACAAATGGGTAAAGTGAACAGAGCTGAAGTCTGTACCTTGCACAGTTTGGCCTTTTATTGCTTTGAAGGACAGGCCATATTGCTCTTTTAAGGGAAATTAATATTATATACTTTAAGCAGTCTACTGCGAAGAGTGAGGATATAGATTATATTTATTTGCAGGCAGTAGACTGTCCTGGGACTCAAGTATCTGTCTTTTGTTGAATTTGAGATAATATTTGAAATTGAAGTTTTAATTTTGGAATCAAAACTGAATGTCAAAAGACAAATTTACAGGTCTCGATTTAAATACATGTACTCCTATGAACTTGATATAAGTATTATTTTATAATATTTTTTTTTAAATTTTGTGTTGATTTTTTGTATGCTGTTACGATGTTATTGATATATTCATATTGCATTTAATTTTATACGTTGCATGGATAAGAGGGCATAATTAAATAATTATGTATTTAAGAAATAAAAAAAAACAGGAATGTTACGAAACTTACACCAGGACAACTATTACTTGTTGTTTTACTAAAAAAATGGGTTAATAGACACAACAGCATTGACAGTATGACTGTCGACAGTACACGGCACCTTAAGGTCAGGTAAGAGTGGTACAGACAACTTGCAAACATTATTAACAGCCTCAATTTTCTGACAGTTATATGACAGTGATTACTTCTTCCATTAACGGCAAATGTAATTTCTTTGTAAATGCCAGTATGATTACATTACCTATCTTATAACAATGCTTTTAAATTGTTAAAAAATCTTTCCTAAAAAATGCAGTGGCCGTCTTTGTTACACATTGCAAATGCCTGCACAATAAACATTATAAAAAATTTACAAAGTAGCATTATGTCAGGAGGTCTCTCAAAATTGTGGTCATTTCACCGTGGCAATCAATATTTTGAGTATTTGTCTTATCATGGTCTACACTGTTAGCTATTCAGTCAGTAATATTTTCAAATTTTCCCTAAAAATAATGAATGGTTTAGTCCAGATTAAAGGATGGACAAGTCAATTTAATATGTTTAGTGTGGCAAGGGCTAAAGATGTTGTATACAATAATTCTTGGATATTTCCAAACTCCCTGTTAAAATCACCCCTCCCTTGTATTTCTATGAGTTGTCACTTATTACTTATTTTTGTATTTTCAGTATTAAGGAAGTTTGAAGAGCTGGATGATCTTCATCTGAATGTTTCTGAAGGTTCGAACCTCGTGATTCCTTGCCAACCCCCTTACAGCCGACCTCAAAGCAAAATATTGTATAGATACAACCATTCTACCATCATTGATAAAGATACAGGTAAGAGTTGTCTCCCTGATAACAGTACTCTTCAATAGCAATTTATTCAGTTGTATTTCCTATATCAATTTTGATTTTTTTGCCCCCACGTTAGTGGCGGGCATTTAGATTTACCCTTGTCCGTCCGTCCGTCCTTCCATCCGTCCGTCCGTTCGTTCACTTTTGTGTCGCACGTAACTCAAAAAGTATTTGACCTAGAGTCATGAAACTTTACAGCATGTGTAGTTGTGCACCTGGGTATTTTCGTCTGGATATTTTTAGTATTTTCAGAGTTATTGCCCTTGACTTAGTTAAATTTTGCAATTTTCAACTTGTGTCGCATGTAACTCAAAAAGTATTTGACCTAGAGTTATGACACTTTACAGGAATGTTGATCAGCATGTGTAGTTGTGCACCTGGGTATTTTCGTCTGGATATTTTAAGTATTTTCAGAGTTATTGCCCTTGACTTAGTAAAATTTTGCAATTTTCAACTTGTGTCGCATGTAACTCAAAAAGTATTTGACCTAGAGTCATTAAACTTTACAGGAATGTTGATCAGCATGTGTAGTTGTGCACCTGGGTATTTTCGTTTGGAAATTTTCATTATTTTCAGAGTTATTGCCCTTGACTTAGTAAAATTTTGCAATTTTCAACTTGTGTCGCATGTAACTCAAAAAGTATTCGACCTAGAGTCATGAAACTTTACAGGAATGTTGATCAGCATATGTAGTTGTGCACCTGGGTATTTTCGTCTGGATATTTTTAGTATTTTCAGAGTTATTGCCCTTGACTTAGTAAAATTTTGCAATTTTCAACTTGTGTCACACGTAACTCAAAAAGTATTTGACCTAGAGTCATGAAACTTTACAGGAATGTTGATCAGCATGTGTAGTTGTGCACCTGGGTATTTTCGTCTGGATATTTTTATTATTTTCAGAGTTATTGCCCATGATTTAGTAAAATTTTGCAATTTTCAACATGTGTCGCAGGTAACTCAAAAAGTATTTGACCTAGAGTCATGTAACTTTACAGGAATATTGATTAGCATGTGCAGTTGTGCACCAGGTATTTTCGTCTGGATTTATTTAGTATTTTTAGAGTTATTGCCCTTCACTTAGAAAATTTTTGCAATTTTCAACTTGTGTCGCAAGTTTCTCAAAAAGGATTTGACATAGTCATTTAACCTTATAGGCAGGTTGCTCAGCATATTTTAGATTTGCACCTGGGGTTTTGCTTGTGGATTTATCCAGTATTTGTAGAGTAATTTCCCTTGACTTAGTAAAAAGATTGACAGAACAGTGGCGCGGTGGGGGCACCCGTGTCCTATGGACACATTTCTAGTTTGGATTTCACTTTTACTTAGTTTTATAAAAATTAAAGTTTATATAAATAAATGCAGGGCGTTTTATAAGCTCTTTGTATAGTCATATGAGTTTTGTTTTATTTGTTTGAGCGTTATTTTTGTCATGTTTTGTTGTTGTTGATTTTGATCAGAGATTTTATTACAAAATTATAATTTGAACCGCGCCATGACAAAACCAACATATTGGGTTTGCGACCAGCATGGATCCAGACCAGACTGCGCGGATGTGCAGGCTGGTCTGGATCCATGCTGGTCGCAAACCCATTATGTTGGTTTTGTCATGACACAGCTCATTTGTCATCAGAAATCACAGCAATGACAGTTCAATGTGCTCTAACTATACTTTCACCTTAAAAGTCGACACAGTATTAAACTTTATGGAAATTAAAGTAATTAAGATGATATAGATTTTGTGATTTGTATTTGATAAGTATTGAAAGAGTTTGTCAATTATAAGGTTATAAAAGATATATTTTTATAAGACATTGAACAAGGATATATTTAAGACTAACTAATGTTATATGTAATGAGGGGAAAAAATGTGCACACTTAGTATGATTAAGGTTCATATCTTGTCATGTCTAGTTTTATAAAGGAGATTATTTAGAATGTCACCATGATTTCCTTACAACCACACTTTTCAAAGAGAATATTAAATGATTTTTGTACAATTAGGCACCAAAACGAAGTCTAGAATTACAAAGTTGATGTAATAGGTGCTGTTCAGATTTTTAATGGAAGTTTTACATGCAATCTGTTCATTTTAAAAGTTTAAGGTTTTTGGATACTTTCTTAATTCATCTTTAGTGCATAAAGGAGCTTTTGTGATGATCCACCATCTTTCATCTATTTCTTTGCCCTTTGATAGGTTAAAATATGGCAAGAAATACATGTATATATTTTAAATAACCTTGTTATTCAGGGAACATCAGTTTTTCAAAATAATTCATGTCCCGTATTAACAAACTGAAATATGTATCAAGAACAATTTCAATGGTTAGCAAAAACCTTAATGTCAAGCTTTTTAAAATGACATTGAGTCAGGATATGTGTCTGTTGTGAATATTTTTTGTTGTGTTCCCACTAATCAGTGACCTGGGGTGTAACTGGCTGTAACCCTGAATTTAATTGAAACTGTGCAGACTGAATTCTGTCTTTGTAATAATTTATTGCATTCAGTCAGTGACATATGCAGTCAATTTAGGGAGGGGGTAACTGTGCCAGAAAATGTTAACAACTTTCCTTCTAGCTCTTCATTATATATTATATATAGTTCTTAACTTGCTTGAAAGGAAAGCGATTAGCATTTGCCACCAGTGTAGAGACAATACCAGCATGTATGCATGCATATCCCTACAGTTTGACCAGGTTCTATCCTGTTGAGTAAACTCAATTTTATATTCTAATATCGAAACCATGAACAGACAGATAGAGCAAGGCAGGGCTGGGCAGGGCAAATCCAAAGCAGGGCAAATCCATTACATAAAATCAGCATGTTAAGGGTTAAGTCAGTTGGCTTTTTGAGCAGAGTTTTGGATCAGAATCCCAAAACTACCGGACTCGATTAATTTCCTCAGTAGATAAAATTCTTACAAAAACTGGAGAAAATTTGTCTATTACTTACAAGTTAGTTACTACTACCAAGTTTAGAAGTTGTCATTTTATAGTAGGACATAGTAAATTCCTCTGCAAATGTTCATGCTATGTCTTATTGTCACATAATGAACCTCTAAATTTAAATGTTCAAACCCTTTTTTCCCCAGCACATGCTGAGTCTGAATGTGCGAATGTTTTTTTTTCTGGGCACATGATCATGAATATTGAATATCTTTTGGTCATTTGTCTCTCACCGCCTGGCCGAGGGGTTAGAGTCGATGACTTCTAATCCAGTTACCTCTCTGGCATGGGTTTGATCCCCAGGAGATGCTTTGGTAGTTTATTGCGGAGGAAGGTAGTCTAGTACTGGTGTAACTCTCCAGGAACGATGGTTAGGAAACTACCCGTCTATATGACTGAAATACTGTTGGGAAAAGGCGTTAAATGAAACAAACAAACAAACAAAGTCTCTTACCGCAGATTCAGAAATCACATGGGGAGTAACTGTTATTACACGTAACAGCCGGCTAAAATACAACCAAAAAATACTAAAATTGGTATAAAAGACAAAACAAACATTTTAAATTAAATAAATATCAAGTCTTCTGTAAAAAATACAAATTTTTGAATATTAACTGTAATGAATAAATGGATAAGCTTTTATGATAGGTTACAAATTGTTTGAATGTAAACGGAAGATATCGCTCATTTATAAAACATCTCCCCAAAAAATTAACTAAATGAAAGAAAATCTCTTTACTAACTGAAATAGCAGATGATGGGAGTGGCTTAATAATTTCTTTTTCAGAACAATGTTAGTCTATGTAACTTGTGTTAATGTGTTTTAAATAGGTCCAATTTTCTCGTTCTTAAATGGGAAAAAATGAAGAATGTACATGCATATCGTTCTGAAGAAATTTTATCTCGAATACGTTTTCTTAAGTTTCAAATTGAGTTATTAGGTTTTATGTGTTTTTAATATGCTTCAATTTCTATGATGTATTTCATTTCTGTAAGCTTGTTATATCATAAATGGTTCTAAAGTTTGAGTAATTTTCTACAAAATTGTACTGATAAGTATAATGTGCTTTTAGAGGGAAAGAAAATCTCTTTTAAATGACATATTTAAATTACATTCTAGTGTAGAAAATGTTATAATTGCAAAGTCAAAAGCCTTAACAAAGAACGTTTTATGTCTCTGATATTTTTGAGAGCGGTGCGTGGTTTAGCATTAGAAAAGTAAATACAATTTGTCCTATTACCTTTTCAAAGGTACGGCTTTGTTAAAAGCGAGTAAAAAATATCAAATTTCATTTAAGTGTTGTGACTGATCATCGTGAAGCTGTTCAGTAACCAAGTAAGGTTATGCATAATTTTCTCTTCAGTGAGAATATGTGCCGCAGGCCATTTTCCTCGGGTCATTAAGTCTCTGTTAAAATGAACACTGATTTGTTTTCACCAGTTAAAACTTCCATAGATTATCTGCCCTTGATCAAGATACAAAAGAAAAAGGTGTGAAATTTTAAGCTAGCAAGATATATAGAGTTATTTTCATTTATTTTACATTTCTTACATTATATCCTTAGTAAGTAAAAACTAAGGCTATTAATTATCTTGAATACTAAGAATAGAATCATCAATGATAGACCAGATTTTGATATGATTTATGTTGTTCATCTTGTAATGTTGAATTTTTGCAGCCTTGGAATTTCATATTTACTGAACTTAATGTCTTGGTATTTGATAAGCTTTTGAAAAATGAAAAATTGATTGAAATATATGTAAAATCGGTCAAAAGCTAAATGATTCTTTAACTATTTACTTTAAATGTTTACATGAAGCTTCAAGTGTTTATTAATGTTTCTCTAATTCTGGAAATATTTTTCATTTAAAAAATATTCAATTTTTCTAGATTTTGTATATTATATATGAAAAAAAAATCCCGCCAGTTCTTGGCTATTAGTTTGTCAGGATGACTGGAAATGTTTGTATCTTATCAATGTTTTAGTTGCAAACTTGTGAAAACTGACAAAATTTACCCATAAACATCTGTGAGAAACAGGATTTTCTTTCCAAAGAGGCCTTTATCTTGATATATGAATATACATCTTAGTTAAGAGACCATTCAGAAATTCCTTTTTTCACAGTAATTTTCCCTGATAAAGATCTATTAAGATATACATATATATATCCAAACATTATCAAAAATGAATACTTCATAATTAGCCCCAAATGTTTTCAATTCCCTCGCCAAATTAACAGGTTAATTTAAACTGACATATCACTGTAATAAAACATCCTTGTTTTAGATAATAATAATTATGATTTATCTAAAATGTTTCAAGTCAGATTGGCTTATCGTATATCTAATGATAATGTACATTTTTTGGGACTATAAGCACCAATTACAGGGCGTTTTGGCCGCACTTCAAGCAGCCCATGCCAAGACTTCCCTTTATATGTAACAAAAATATGACTGTATAATATTGTTTGATCATGGTGCAATACAGCCTGCAAGTTTTACCATCTTTTATTTATCATAATAATCCCTGTGCACAGATAAAACAGAATCTTGTTTTTTGCTTTAAAAATACAGGAAAGTTATTCCATTCCTGGCAGCATTCAGAGAAACAGAAACCTGAGGAAAATAATGCACTTAAGAATAATAGTATAGAGAGCTATGTTTACAGCAGCTATCATTTGTCAAAATTATTTCCTTTATTTTGGTCACAAAAGAGATGAAATTTGTATTTTAAGCCATTTCCCAGAAAGCAAATTTATAACATTTACTTGTGTGTCCAAAAAGGCTCTGACAGTGATCAACCTCGGACACTGACCATTATGTCCATTGTAACATAGATATCTAATAAAACATTATCTTGTTACCTTTACTGTAGATTATAAGTTACTTGAAATATTGTTGCATAGAAAATAGTCATTAATAAATCTAAACATGTAACCAAAACAGGCACATCCTGTATCATTCTGTCATGGTTCAGTCAGTACTTATTTTGAAATTTTCCCTAAAAATGATGAATGGTTTTGTCCAGATTGTAAGATAGGCAAGTCCATTTAAGATAATAAACATAGTAAGGGTTAAGATTATTATTTAGATATTAATCTAATTGGACAAATCATGCTGGAATATTTAACATCATTACAAAAGCTGTTAACACAAAACAGTGAATATTTCCGTTAAAAAAAGCTATATTTTAAACTAGGCTTAGAAATTGCTTCTTTTGTATGCATAATAATTATGTTTGTTACATTGTTAATGAAGATGAGGTGAAGTAAGTAAAAGATAATGAATATGTACCTTCTTCTGTCTTGTTCACCATAAAAGGTATCATTAATTAATTTCTAAACGCCATTTTACACAATTAAATCTATTATATATACACTTGATTGATATTTATCTGAAGAAGGGGCACTTTGTCATAGAATTTTTTTAGTCAGGAAATTTTCAAATGTTAAATGTAACATGTCAAGATTAGGAACATGAGTAATGTGAAATGATATTTCTTTAATGAAAGATACATAGTAGATATAAGATAGGGGGTAGATTATAAAGGGAACAGAAGTGGTCCTGTGTTTACTAGGCTCCACGTGTCTGACTATTCTACCTTCACATTATAAGTTCAAAAGGACACTCTTTTAAATGGTGAATACTGATACATAAAATAACAAGTATGAAAAAAATATAAAGAAAAAAAAAACGGGATAAGAAAAAAAAAAAACACAAGCAACTCTCCAAGTGTTTATTTTTTGCGTATAAAAATCGTAGCTTATTATTAATCACTTGAGATATATAAATCAGAATTAGCTAAGTAACAGAGAAATAATGCTTTTAGTATTAATTCAGCCATTTGGTGTGTATGATTAAAAAAAAGGGAATGTTACAAAGAAATAGACGTCATTATCAGGGCATGGTATTGTATCACAATAGGCTGTTAATTAAGCTTATTGTGTTATTATGGACTCCCTTTACATTGTATCATGCCAATAGATGCCACTAGATATAATTATTACATTGATGTAATACATCTGGTGTAACTATTTTACCATTGTTACACTTTTTTTGTAAAACACAGGCCAGCTTGTTCTTGTGTTTTTGCCTAGTATGGTGAAATAGTGAGAAAGCTTTATTAACGAAATAAGGACACTATCAGATGTTTAATTACTGAAACATTTTTATGATTTTTGTCTAATTATAGATGCTGATTGTACACTGCCTCTAAAGATAAAGTTTTATTTCAAGCTGACAAGTTTAAAACAATACAAAATAAGCTCTTTAGAGTTTAGATCTTTTATTACAGACAACAGTTACTGCTATAGTCTAACCTGTGCTTATAGACCAACTCTTTAGAAAGACCTAAAACAATAAAACCAGTTTATAAAGGCAACCCTTTTACAATCTTGTGTTTAGTAAGTAAAATCAGGACTTGTCTGTCAGAGTACACTATTCTCTAAATAGTTTGTCACAGTCTGGTTTAATTGTTTATATGCAACTATTTATGGTCTGCTTTTTCTTTCTTTTAACATCACTTTACAAATATCCACAATTGCGATGATTGTCATGCCTTACCTTTATTGTTCACAATTATGTGAATGCTCTATAGATTTGTGTTTCTGGTCATGCCTTACCTTTATTGTTCACAATTATGTGAATGCTCTATAGATTTGTGTTTCTGGTCATGCCTTACCTTTATTGTTCACAATTATGTGAATGCTCTATAGATTTGTGTTTCCGAGCTTTGTTTATATGAAATAATTACAATAAATTATTTCCTTATTTTCAGATCATTTCATGTTTTCTTTATGAAATAATAACAATAAATTTCTTTTCTTTATTTCAGATCATTTTAAAATCCTGCCGTCTGGAAATCTACAGATTATTAAAGTGACGTCTGCTGACCAGGGCCTGTATCAGTGCATGGCCCAGAACATTCTACGTAACCGTACGCGTACTGCCAAACATAGTATACATGTTCACGTTCTCAATAAGCAAGGTAAGTCACTTTTGACTTTTGATATAAGTATTTATAAAAAAAATGAGGGTTGTTGGTCTTAGTCTAGTGGTTAAAGTCTCTTAACCAAGATGTCATGGGTTTGAGTCCAACTGGGTTGTCATGATAGGTAAAACAAATGATTTTTAGATGGAAAAAATGTATTTTACATTTGAAATGATTTTGAGTTAGTATTTTATCAATGTTGTTTACAAGCGTAATTTGATTCTGGAGGGAAATAAAGTTTGTGTAGTGTTAAGGACTTACATGTTTTATATGCTACATGTGTATTTACCATATGCACAAGGCTTGTTACATAATAGACAGGAGAAAATAGCAAAATAATGTGGGTTAACCAGTCAATTTCACATTTTTAATGACCCTAAACTCCACATGGAGTCCAAAGCATTAGAAATTACCCAAAATAACTTCTCCTCAATTGACCCGGTACTGTTTACAACAGTTTATACTTTTCTGGAAATGATTTGGGAACATTACAAGAACATTGTGGTTAGATGAAAGGTATTTTGTTGCATGTTCTTTGCATTTAATGCATTTTAATGTTTTCTTTAGTGATTTTATGCATGTAAAATGTTAATAAATAAGGTATGTGGCTGATCACTGCCAAACATACTAAAACCTCCTGTTTCCATGCTTACAGTTCACACTCAGAAAACAAGGTATAGTTTGAAGAATTCAAAAAAGGTTTCTACTTAAACCTTTTCTTAACTGATTTTGAGTATATAGGCCCTTTTGATTTGGGAACTGACCATTTCTCTTGTCAGTCTACTTACTTATATTGTTGAGTGTGGTCAGACTGCAAACAAAAGCAGACCCACCTCTGTCATTAATACTGCATTAGTTGATATTAAGGTATTGGTGGTTACACAAATGTACTTGATTAAATATCAGAATTATGTTAGAATATGTAACGGTACAATTTGGATTAGAAATAACATTTTATGCTGGTGTTTCTGCAAACTTCCGTGCTAAATAAATCCAGTTTTGATAACAAAAATTTAGTGTATGGAGAAAATGTTTGAAATTGATTTGACATTTAATCCGGGGATTATAAATTTAACCATATTGTAACTGGTGTTTCAGAAAAAATAACATCCTGGCTCATCAGTAAAACTGCTAATATTGACAGGCTCTTCCCTTCTACAGGTGCAACCAATAAATATCAATTATGAAATTACTGTTCATAGACCACCAAAGTTGAGATATTTTGAAACTTATACCTACAAATGACTTTAGCAAGACAGTGCTAGATTATAATGTCTGCATTCCCTGGTCTATACGGCAATAAGTTTTTTCCTTTATCTGTTTATTTATTGCATCAGAGAAGTTATACTGGTAGTAATATGCTTTTATCTTTCTCTCTGTATCAATGCTAATGTTGGAATATAGATCAGTGAATTTTATAGAATGTTTCTGTAATATGCACCCCACTATTTCCTCCCTGTCTTCATGCAGTATTACCATACACTCTTCACTGTGAGAGTATCAAAGTAAAATAACAAAGTTTATCATAGTCTCAAAGTAAAACAACAAAGTTTATCATAGTATCAAAGTAAAATAACAAAGTTTATCACAGTATCAAAGTAAAATAACAAAGTGTTGCCATAGTCTCAAAGTGAAATAACAAAGGTCATAGTCTCAAAGTGAATAGTCTCAAAGTAAAATAGCAAAGTTTACCATAGTCTCAAAGTAAAATAACAAAGTTTACCATAGTCTCAAAGTAAAATAACAAAGTTTATCATAGTCTCAAAGTAAAATAACAAAGTTTATCATAGTCTCAAAGTAAAATAACAAAGTTTATCATAGTCTCAAAGTAAAATAACAAAGTTTATCATAGTCTCAAAGTAAAATAACAAAGTTTATCATAGTCTCAAAGTAAAATAACAAAGTTTATCATAGTCTGAAAGTAAAATAACAAAGTGTTGCCATAGTCTCAAAGTGAAATAACAAAGGTCATAGTCTCAAAGTGAATAGTCTCAAAGTAAAATAGCAAAGTTTACCATAGTCTCAAAGTAAAATAACAAAGTTTACCATAGTCTCAAAGTAAAATAACAAAGTTTATCATAGTCTCAAAGTAAAATAACAAAGTTAATCATAGTATCAAAGTAAAATAGCAAAGTTTACTTTAGTCTCAAAGTAAAATAACAAAGTTTATCATAGTCGCAAAGTAAAATAACAAAGTTTATCATAGTCTCAAAATAAAATAACATAGTTTATCATAGTCTCCAAGTAAAATAACAAAGTTAATCATAGTCTGAAAGTAAAATAACAAAGTTTATCATATTTGCAAAGTAAAATAACAAAGTTTATCATAGTATCAAAGTAAAACAACAAAGTTTATCATAGTCTCAAAGTAAAACAACAAAGTTTATCATAGTATCAAAGTAGAATAACAAAGTTTATCATAGTCTCAAAGTAAAATAACAAAGTTTATCATAGTCTCAAAGTAAAAATTACAGAGTTTATCATAGTCTCAAAGTAAAATTACAGAGTTTATCATAGTCTTAAAGTAAAAATAACAAGTTATCATAGTTTCAAAGTAAAATAACAATGTTTTTTGATAGTCTCATAGTAAAATAACATGTAATCATAGTTTCAAAGTAAAATAATAAAGTTTTTTTTAGCCTCAAAGTAAAAATAACAAGTAATCATAGTCTTAAAGTAAAACAACAAGTTTTTGATTATGTCAAAGTAAATAACAATGTGTATAGATTGATAATGGACTGTTTCAAAATAGAATTGTTCAAGTCCTTTCAGGTTCAGCAGGACAAAGGTTAAGGGCCTATCAATTCACAAAATTTATATTGTTTAATTAATTATAAAATTAACAATGATAAGTGTTTAATGAATATTTATTTAGAATTTTTTACACCCGAGTTAAATAACCTTTTACACATTGTGCATACAAGCAGCACATACAAGTTGCAACATTGTGCTGTAATACAAGCAGAACATACAACATTGTGCATACAAGTTGCAACATTGTGCATACAAGTTGCCACATTGTGCATACAAGTTGCCACATTGTGCATACAAGCAGCACATACAAGTTGCCACATTGTGCATACAAGTTGCCACATTGTGCATACAAGCAGCACATACAAGTTGCCACATTGTGCATACAAGCAGAACATACAACATTGTGCATACAAGTTGCAACATTGTGCATACAAGTTGCCACATTGTGCAAACAAGTTGCTCACTTTTAAGGAGTTGTTAACAACTTTTGATTTTTTGTGTGTAATTTTTGATATAATTGAACTGGAAGAAATTTATATAAAAACATAACATTTTAGTAATTGTTATTCTTGTATTTTGTACAGTTAATAATTTGCCATTCAGACACTGTATAGTTCACTTTAAAAAAAATTCAAACCTCTACATTATTAAACTTCTAATCCCCTTGAAAATTTGAAAAACTGCACTGTCACCAAGTTATAACATCCCATGTGTCCAGAGCTAAAACTGCAAATTACCCAAGTAGTGCAAGGGAAGCAACTCTTACAATATACTAAACAGATTAAGGATGCTTTTTTTTCTTCAAACATATCTTATCAGAGTAAACAATCACTGTTATTATGATGTAGATACTGCAGTATAAAACAGACAGCAATCTCCTGGTGACATCCTATACTCTTCATGTAGGGAGGAAAAAAAATAGCATTTAATCAAGATCTTGTGAAATGCTTGTATATTGAGATAAGAGGAAGGCCTGTTAACTTGGTATATTTATACTGTCAGAAAAATGTAACCATGAAATTTACACTGATATTGATGCTGATTGACGAGGGGGGCCATTACAGGTGAAAACTGTTATAAAAAACTTGAAGGAAATTTTTATCTGGATTAAACAAGTATTTAGCAAACTTTGCCGATGTACTTTTCTATTTTCCTCTTTTAGCATTAGTGTGACTTAACTAGGAAGTCAATGCTCAGTAAAGAAGCTTGACAACAAATCTCCTGGCTCATTATCTCTGCATGCTATTTAAATATTTTAATATATTTTAATAATGAAATCCCTTTACCCTTAAGACAGTTTCAAATTCAAAATAGGTCATGTATGTTACATGAAATCAGGGGGGATAAGTGTTACTACTGCCCTACTCAAAACTTCTAAATGAAAAAAAGAAATGTTGGAGAAAGTTTACAATGAACAAATTTTTCTTTAAAAAAAAAAGATGTCTTTATTGTAAATCAAACATTGTGTCTTTAGTATAGAGTATTGTTCTAGCACTATTGAAACCTTTGTTAAATAGAGTGAAACTCAGTTTTGAAATGGGGTATCCCTGCTTATTGTTGAAGGTTTCTTTGTTGTTGTAAGATAAGAAAGGGTTTCTAGAAAGCCTTATCAGATCCATCAATCATCATGTGACATTATACATGCTTCTACAAAGGACATCATGTCCAATTTCTTCTCTCCCCTTCAACTTACATGTTAAATGGCCCATGAAAAGAAAGAATATATAGTTGGTGTTTACAAACTCTACCAGTGGAAATGATTTATAGTAAAATATTTTAGCCAATTATAACCTTTGTTAAATTTAGAAGGGAAAAAAAAAGGTTGATAGACATGATTTCTATTTTGAAGTCAATTTCTGTTATAAAAAATTTGATAGTATGATGTCAGAAAAATGAGAATATTTTTCACGAATGATATTGAGGGATGTAACATCTGATTTGAAATAAAAGTTTTGGTGGCTGACATGCACTCAAAACATATATACCTACAATAATACACCAGTCATTTGTGCATGTCTACCCTGGGGGAATAACAGGGACTCAGATATTTGGATTATCAAACATTGTTTGCGTGGTATGCCAGCCTGCATAGCTCAGTCGGTTAGAGCGCGAGACTTGTAATCTCGACATTGTGGGTTCGATTCCCGGGCTGGCCAACTAAAATTACTAATCAGTCTTTCGGATGAGACTTTAAATCGAGGTCCCGTGTATGAGTGCTTAAACACTTGGCACGTTAAAGAACCAGGAGAAGCTTCTGGAATTGGGGCATCTTTCTGTATCTGTATCTTGCACTATCCTCCAAAATATAAAATGACTAACACTCTTCTGGAGGACTCGCCCATATGGGCAATCGGTGGCGAGTATAAATAAACTCAAATACACAAAAAGTTCGCGTGGGTATGACCAGTAAGTGTCAGTGCCCCCTCAGTGTGCTGTTTAAACCCAAACAAGCAAACAAAATAAATCAAACATCCAGCAAAAGTCCAACAGTGCAGGAGCTGTTAGAAAGTATTAAAATTTCTCCTCATTAAAAAACCCACCCATATCCCCAACATTACCATGGTAGCGAGGGGACAGACAAATTTTTCCTATTTACTAACTTGCATCAACAGATGACATTTTAAATGTTCATGTGTTTTGCTGTTTGAAGGTGTCTTTGGTTGGTAGGGAGGGGGTTGAAGTTGACAGAGGAGAATATGTTCTAAAATGTAGATTATTTTTAAATCATGAAGTTTTGCATTCTGATAAATTAACTTATTGCCTAATGTGAATATATTAATATATATCTGCAGTTTTATCATAAAAGAATTGATGGGAGAAGGGGGAGGGGGGAAGCCTGCCATTTTCTTTGCATAAAAAGCGTAATATGTTGTGTCATGACTGTGCCTTCAAAATTTCTCATTATTTTGGTGACATGTTTTCATATCTTGTCACATGACCTGCAACACAATCTGTGTTTTTGTCAGTAGTTTGTGTTATATTTGGGTGTTTTCTTACAATCTTTTCATACATCTCACCTTTCCTGAATACTACAGTAAAATGATCACATCTTATAATTCACACCTGTAAAATCTTTTAAAGAAAACAGTTATTCATCTCTGACCTAGCAAACGATTTTTTTTTCACAAATAAGAAAAAAAAAATTTCTAATGAAATTATTATTATTTTTTTTTTTTTTTAGAAAAAGTAGGATATTATGACATTTATTAAGGTTTTTAAATTTATGACTATCAGTATTAAAGTGTTCTCACTAGGTATTTGGAAAGTAACACCAATAATAAATGTTTTACGTGCTGTTAAAAAAGGTTTCATATATAATCGCCGCAAATACGTTTATCATCATTCTTGACAACGTGCACATGTTCACCAGTCATAAAATCGTTAGAATCAAGTCATAAAATACAAAACAGGCTGAACAATGAATTTTGTGGGGGTTTTTTGTTGTTGTTTTTAATTTCTTGATATGATTATTTTACTTGATACATCGTTATCTAAAATAATCACAAGAAAAAACTTTATTATGGAACTATAGAACATGTTTTTAAAAGCTTCTTAAACAAAAGTGAGATTAGATTTCATTTTTTTTTTAATAAAGAAGTAAAAACTGTTTTAAATTTTTTTTTATTTTACAATACTTAAACTGAAGTGTGATTAAAAAATTACGGCAGAAATCCCTCAAAACAAATTATATTCTATGTACGGCCTTGTAAAAAAAGCGCACATTACTGCTCTTCAATTACATTGAAAATGTTTTTTTGCATGTTACAATGATATAAAAGATAGAGAAATTAAATGAATGGGGACATACTCCAGTCTTGGCCTGTAATTTACGTTGGTAATGACTGGTTGGTGCAAAAATTGTCAAAGATAACCCTCTAATTATAACCCTGATGGCCTCATTCAAACTTGACAGCAATATTTCTTAAACCATGGACATTAAAGAATATGTCAATTTGTTAAAATTAAAGTTACAGTATAGTTAGTGCATGAACGCAACTGTTGAATAACTAGCTCAAATATTACTATACACATTGGAATTTTTTAAGTTTTAGTGCTGTCACTTTAAAATGAACCATCACAATCTTAATGGGATAAAAAAAAATCATATTACAAAAACTAAGAAGGGGGAAGTATTTATACTATGAACTGCATTCTTTGTTGTAGTTCAAACTTGCAAATTACAAATATAAATTGATTGTATATACTTATATCTATACAGTACATTGATAGTCCCTCATTGCAAAAGGTTGCTCTTCTTTTGTTACACACATAAGTTAAAATTTTATACACCTCCTCATAAGCATTCTGTTTTATCTTTGTCTATATATTTTCAGTTCCTAGATATGATCCTGCAGTAATAATGACATCAACAAAGTTACAAGCGTTGCTTGGTGAAAACGTGGTTCTAGAATGTTCGGCTGTTGGTAATCCACAACCAGTGATCTCCTGGGAGAAATATGGTGGCTCCCTCTCTGAGGGGAGATACCGTCTGCTGCATGGTAATAGTACTTTCCTTCATTTTCGTAATAAGTTGCTTCAAGTATTTATCTATTTTGATGTTAAAACCCCAGTCCAGTAACCATCCAGTTAGTTAAATAGGAAGATCTTGGGACTGTGAATTGGGTGACCAGGGTCCAATTCCCATACAGTGCAGGTCACTTACATTGTGATTGATAATGAAATCCTACAGTCAGTTGCACTGTACCTCTGCTCTTGCATGTACAGAAGTTATCAGTTCCTTGGGAAAGTGAAGGAAACAACTACTGGTAAACTGCAGGAACTGTGCTCTGGTGAATTCAATGTGGCTAACTGCCATATGGAGGGTAAACAACCAAATTCTTCTCCTTGATGATATATTTATATTCCTATCATTATATGGTAATAATGAAAATTAAACAGCAGTTAGTCTTATATGGAGAAGTGGCCTAACAGTAACTTTGTCTACTGGATTTAGGACAAAAGCTCTGTCCCTTTTTTCACGTGGTTTATATGGATAGAAAGGTCGATATTTGCTGAAATACAGGACAGTACTTGTATAGACACCACATGCTTCACATGTTCCATAAATGCTGCCTGAGAGATAAGGTGGAAATTTCTATATGAAGTTATGAAGAAAAAACACAAACATACCCATACGGCATAGTAATACAAACTTTATGTGTAATTATTATTGCAGGTAACTTGTATTTGGACAAGGTGACACTAGAAGATGAGGGAACATATCTTTGTAAAGCAAATAATGGCATTAATTCTCTGATGTTAGATGGTCTTAAAGCAATGGTACTTGAAGTATTAGGTATGTCCTTACTTTAACATTTCATTAAATCAGATTATGTTGCCTGTTTCCTCTTTCACAGAACCTTTAAATAATAACTTCTCAAAAACTGAAGATTTCAAAGAAGATATTAATACATTGTATAACTTAAATGCTAAATATGAACAAATTAGTGTACCTGTATAATTACGTAGCAAAAGGCAATTAAGTTGAAAAATTCACTTGCAGCATTTCTGTTTACCAGATTTTTCAGTGTTTTTAGCTCAACTTTTCAAGACTAGGGAGGGCTATTGTACTAACTGGGGCATCAGTATTGGTGTCACACACACTTTTGTTAAGTTTTGATTGCAAGTGTGTATCTTCAAAACTACCAAAGAAAATGGGTTGAAACTTAACACTTATTTGAGATCATAATAGGAGGTCACTGTCCAAGGCCCATAACTCTATTATGGATTTTGACAGAATATTGCCCTTTTTGAATATTGCCTTTTTGAACTTAGAAAATTCTACTTTATTTAGGCATGTTTTACTTTCAAGAACAGAGAATAATCAAACATGCTGTCCTTCCACCAGCTCTTGTTATCTTTCTTATGCTATTGTCAATTCAAATGTAGCAAAATCAGCTGAACTGAGGATTGTTTTAAAGAGACTGCTTAGTAAATAGATACCTTGAATTGATTCTTAATTTGAAGTATATTATTTCAGAGCGTCCGATCATACAGAGTGTAAACCCAGTGATCAACGTAAGTCTGGGAGGTCTGATAGAGTTGATGTGTATCGTACGAGGTAAACCACGCCCACAAATTACCTGGTACCACGATGGTAACCTTCTCAAGGCATTTAATGAAGGTAATATATTCTCATATAACATGTTAATATGCATTTAATTATTTATTAATCAATGTGATACTAGTTGTAATATCAGGTGCATATGGTACAAGTTTTAATTGAAGTTTTAAATAGTTTAATTGATATTCATTTGTTACGTTCAGTTTCTAAATGCAGAATATGTAAATGATATCGGAATTTTTTTGACACTGATGTCACAAAGATGTGACAGACTACCTTAAGAACATTTTAACAACCAGATAAGCCATGTTTGTAATGAAAATTCAAGGTTATAATACATGTGGCATCAAAAATTTTTTTGGGAGGGGTTTAGTGCCAGTCAATTTCTCCAGATGTTTCATTGATGAATGGTGCAGAAAAGCACTATATAATGATTTTCTTAATATCTGAATCGGTACCGATCTGAATATTTTATGTTTAAGGTGAACCCCAGTTCATAAATGATAAGCCATTTAAGAATCAATTTGTTATGAAGTCAATATAAATGTACACTCCACAATAACACTGCACACTTCATTTTTAACCAGGTTTTCAATTTTGAAAATCCTGGTTATTAGATTGGGGTATGGCGGGCGGATGGGCGGATGGGCGGATGGGCGGCTGGGCGGATGGGCGGATGGGCGGGCGGGCGTCAAACGAAATTGTGTCCGCTCTGTAACTCTTCAACCCTTTGAAGAATTTTGATGAAACTTCAGACAAATGTTTACCACATCAAGATGACGTGCAGAACGCATGTTCCGCATGGCTGGCTCCAAGGTCAAGGTCACAGTGACATTAACATTGAAAATCCTGTCCGCTCTGTAACTCTTCAACCCTTTGAAGAATTTTGATGAAACTTCAGACAAATGTTTACCACATCAAGATGACGTGCAGAACGCATGTTCCGCATGGCTGGCTCCAAGGTCAAGGTCACAGTGACATTAACATTGAAAATCCTGTTTACAGCAGGCGTCAAACGAAATTGTGTCCGCTCTGTAACTCTTCAACCCTTTGAAGAATTTTGATGAAACTTCAGACAAATGTTTACCACATCAAGATGACGTGCAGAACGCATGTTCCGCATGGCTGGCTCCAAGGTCAAGGTCACAGTGACATTAACATTGAAAATCCTGTCCGCTCTGTAACTCTTCAACCCTTTGAAGAATTTTGATGAAACTTCAGACAAATGTTTACCACATCAAGATGACGTGCAGAACGCATGTTCCGCATGGCTGGCTCCAAGGTCAAGGTCACAGTGACATTAACATTGAAAATCCTGTTTACAGCAGGCGTCAAACGAAATTGTGTCCGCTCTGTAACTCTTCAACCCTTTGAAGAATTTTGATGAAACTTCAGACAAATGTTTACCACATCAAGATGACGTGCAGAACGCATGTTCCGCATGGCTGGCTCCAAGGTCAAGGTCACAGTGACATTAACATTGAAAATCCTGTCCGCTCTGTAAGTCTTCAACCCTTTGAAGAATTTTGATGAAACTTCAGACAAATGTTTACCACATCAAGATGACGTGCAGAACGCATGTTCCGCATGGCTTGCTCCAAGGTCAAGGTCACAGTGACATTAACATTGAAAATCCTGTTTACATGATTTTAACTTGATTTGGCAGTCAAAGGTCATATCATCTTTGGAGGTAATTTATAAAAGATATGATATATTATTTCATGTCTACTTTGTAACTTGTTTTTCATTATACAGAATTATCAATATAATTATAGTGAACAAATTCTTCTGTGCTGAACTCGTCCTACATTTCTCAACGGATTTTGTTCAAACTTTCACAGAAGCTTTGTCATCAAGCACCCTGGCACATATTGTCGGGGTTTTGTGATTGGATAGTTTTTGACCTAATTATGGCCCTTTGTTTTTTTCCTTATACATAATATTATAGTGAACACTTCTTCAGTGGCAATTCCTCCTACATTATTCATGTTTTACATTGCACATAGTTACATTGTTTGTTGCTTGTATTTGTATTTCAAATACAACATATTTATCTACAATGGTGATAATTGAAAACCTGGTTTCATGGCATTGCCATGTTTCTTGTATATAATTTATACCGATACAATGATTTGATCTGAACTTGATGATGATCTAAAGATCTATACCCATGTTCTCGAACAATTTTGACTCGTGAATTGAGGTGCTATTTTTGCTTATATGTTGCTAATTTAATTGTTAACAGAATCTCGTATAATTATATGTTACTAATTATATGTTACTATTTTAATGTTTACAGTATCTCATTTGTTTATACGTTACTACTTCAATGTTTACAGAATCTTGTTTGTTTATATGTTACTATTATAATTTTAAAGAATCTCCTTTGATTAAACATTACTATTTTAATTTTTACAGAATCTCGTTTGATTAAACATTACTATTTTAATGTTTTACAGAATCTCGTTTGTTTATACGTAATGCGGAGGCAAGTCATCAAGGCTTGTACCAATGTTTCGCAGAAAACAGTGTTGGTATCAGCCATTCTTCTATGATAGTTAATGTAGATGTCACAAAGAGGGATTCAGGTACGTATTCAAACTACATGTGATAAGTTTTGATGTGAAAAGTAAAAGATCGTTCTTGGTTATATTTTGAAAATAAAATTCATGAAATTTTTTCAAAAATGTAAATTTTATATCTTTCTTAATACCGTTATTGACAATGGTTCAGTTTTCTTAAAATTCTTTGATTTAAGTGACTTAAATTATAAAAATCATGGTTATACATTGACCATTACAGGTTCGCTTACATTGTCCGATCAGAATGTTACTAAGGTACCGTCAAGTGAAGAACTCTCCAACAAAAAAGAGACTCCTGCAGGTCGGGAGTCCAAACGAAGAAAAGATTCAAAACGGAAATCTAAACGAAGAAGAAGTAGAAAGAAGAAACAGCGACATAGAAATAAAGCTAGAAATTTAGAACCAGGTATAGTATTGTTTTAACACATAGAACTTTGTCACATATAATATTCATATAAAAGCACACAACAGTAGGTGTGATATTGTCTTAATTTAAGATATGTTTGTAAATTAAACTACATTTCAATTATTTTCTGTATGAAACATGAAAACTCAGTAACTGATGAATACGAATGGCATTACAATTTCTTTTGTACTCAAGCCCATACTAGGTTGTATGAGTTATGTTGGGAAATTAAGTGCTTTGAACTTATTTCTCTTGTTTAGTGTCAGTAATAACAGTTCTACAGTTAAAAATCTTGTACAGAAAATGTATTTATTGTTTACTTTAGTGAAACTTGTACCGCCAAGCAAACCAGAAGTGAACCAGTTGTCTGACACGTCTGTCATGTTAAACTGGACAGTACCGGAAAATGACGGGTTGCCAATAACGTTCTTCAGAGTACAATATAAGAAAGTGGCTCCAAAGAAAGGCAGCTGGGTAACAGATGACATCAAAATTGACAGCCAAGTACGGACATTTGAAGTGAGAGGTTTAAAACCAAGTAAGTCATTTAAGTTAGATCTTACTGATTACAAATTAATAATCTTTTTTGGGTGGGCTTTTAATGTAATGTTATGTTATATGGGGTGTAGGCATTACTTCATATGTTTTAAAGATTACTTTTATATACTTTGATGTGTTACTTAATATGTCTGATTAAAAAAAAAAGACTAATTAAAAAAATATTTCCTGTTTAGACCATAGTATATTTTGTAGCTATAGCCTTCTTATATACATGTGAAATGTAATTAAAATTTTCGAGCAACATTTCATCATTGATAAAGATATTCTTAATTAATCATTTGAAGTCAGTCTTTATTCATTAATTAGCATCACCAATTATGTCTTGAATGGGAGGGTGAACTCTTCTTTTAAGTACAAAAATCAGTTATATACCATTTTGTATCTACTTGTTTAGGATCTACGTACAAGTTCCGAATAGCTGCTGTATATACAAATGATGACAATGAAATTGGCGAGAATTCTGATAAGTTTGAGATGAATGTTGATCCTGTCCCAGAAGCGAAACCCCCTAACAAGGCACCAAATATTGTACAAGTTATTCCAATAGACTATAAAGAAAATCACGGTCTAAATGTACACTGGCAGGTAAGGGAAATATGAAAGCATGCTTTAGTTTCTTTATCCATGTACTTTGCATGGGCATGGAGGTAATGGGCATAATTCAACAATTCAGACAGGTTAAATATGACATACCTTATTTAAAAGGACAAATTTTTACCAGAAGTATTTCAAAGTCAAATATGTTGACCTCTGTTTATGATTTGTTTTAAAACAATAAGAAAAATCTTTGTCTTATTTGCATATTTTCTCGGGAAAATATTGCACTTCAGAGTTCAAATGTTGCTAATATGATATTCCATAGGTAATGATTTATATGTTTGTTAACGAGTTATAGCTTACCTTGCACTTTGAAGACTTATCACCAGTATAGAGACAGGCTGGTCTGCACTGCCTTGAAGTTTGTCCAGGCTGTATTATAGAGCTGTTAAATGAATTACGGTAAACACTTGCCTAATTCAGCAGGATAAGGGTTGTACATTGATAATGTTATGCTTTAATTGGTTTAAATTATTTATTTACATACAGTTTGATTGACACTGATAATCAAAGTGTGTGTTTATTATATTACAGCACAATGTTGTGACCTTGACACCGATCGAGGGTTTCTATATTTACTACAAGCCATACCATGCAGAGAAAGACCCATTCCAGAATGTCACTCTACTGGAGCCCAGCGTTAGATCACATCTACTAACCAACCTGTTTCCCGGCACAGAATACCTCATTAGAATGCAGTCATTTAATGGTGTAGGAGATAGTCCGTACAGCAATGAAGTTGTTGAAAGAACAAAAGGTATTGGTTTACTATAGTTTCGTTTACTGTCTATACATTTACAAAACACCTTTTTCTTAAATGATATTTCTTTCTCTTCTATAAATAGTGATTTTATTCAACTATCTTTTCTTGCATAAAATAATTTAAGGGGCATATGAGGAGATCCAGTTTTAACCAAATAAATAAGTAGCCCATGATATAGAAATAAAAAAAATGGAGTAAATGAATTATGTTTTCTTATTTAACATACAAAATTTGCAAGAAAATATCATGATTCTATATCTTATATCCTTACAATGTGAAGCTGAAACTGCAAAGTTTTGGTCATAATTGTCTGAGAATCGATGTAACCTGACCATGCCCTACACTGTTAGCTTTCTAAATTTCATACTGATAATCCCAAAGTTGATAATGAATATTGGACGAGTCCATTCGGAAATTTTTTGTTCGTTAAAGGTTTAAGATTGTTTATTTTCTTTCATGATTCAGGTACGGGTGGACCGTATGACAATCCACAGTTACCACATATAAAACCTGGAGTATCTACAGACAATCCTCCTGTAGTTACACCTGTCAGTAACGATCCTAAGGAGAACGACGATGACGGGGACAACCAGACACGTCGTACTGGGAACCAGACAAGTAGTGAAATGTTGTACATGATTCTGGGTATTGTACTGGGTGTGATGATGTTGTTGTTGATCGTGTTTATGTTCATGTGCTGGTGGAAACAGCGACAACAAAGGAGACAGCTTGGTAAATATTGTTTTTACTATATGTACATTACTATACTGGCATGCGAGCAGTTCCCGTACAGAAGCAGTACCCGTATTTTTCATTTAAACGCTTGATTTTTACATGCATTCTTCAAAAATTCATTTCAAATCAAGCAGATACATAAACGAGACAAAATCTAAGTGTCAGTTTGGCAGTATGTATGAAAAGTCTCATTTTAAATCACTTTCACCTGTGCGTTGTCAAAACGTGACCTTGTTTTATCTGGGGGATTCCGTCCTTGCGCGCATGCGCAAACATACTTACACGTGAGGCATGTTAAAGGGTTTTCCACTAATACCGCCTGTTTACAGATAAGAAGGCAATGTGATGAAAACTTGTTTAATTTTTAGAATTTTGACCAATATTACTATATAAAATAATTTTATGGCTTTGATGCGTAAAATATCATGCATACAAGCATGCCATCGCATGTGAATGCATTGGGGGTAACATTAGTGGGTAATAGATACACGCATTTAGTCTACTTTCTATTTCCTGAATTACATCTATTTATCTCTTAGAAAATGGTCTGTTCAACAATTATAAATGAAAAATAGGTCTGATATAATAAAATTGTATAATTATAATGTGTTAAATTTTATGTACGGGAACTACTTCTCTTCATACAAAATAATGGATAATTTCGGTACCCCATATGAGGCCTCATAACTAAGGGTTATTCTATGTTTAGAACATGATGGAATTTCCATGATTTGTGTGACGAGCCGAATATTGATGTGTAACATTCAAATTTTGGTGAGTGAGCGTAATAAAAAGTAATGTTTAAGTAACTACGATTTTTGTACGGGAACTGCTCGCATGCCAGTAGATAAAAGGCACATTTAAAATTTCAAATGTATTGCAAATGTTAAACTACTAGTATATTATTATAGAGAAAAGGTTCGGACATGTAAAATTTCAAATGTGTTGATAATGTTAAACTAGAAAAGATTCAATTGTAATTATGCCCACTCTACTTGAGAGGCAGTGATATAAAAAAATATGTTTGCCTTTATCCAGCTTCCTGTCGTCTTGCTTTCTGTCTGAAATATTCAAAAGACGTTTCATTTTCTGACTGCTCCCAGGGAAAATTTATTTGCCTATGACATCAGCAAAGGGCAAGGACAGCCTACATTTATGTGGAATCTTATAATCCAGACCCAATGCAGATGGCTGCGTAGTTTTAGTAATTTGATAGTTATCTTCCTTTATATAATAATTGGCATTTCCAGAATCACAGCAAGACAGACCCATTACATGTATGCAAATTTAGTTTTGTAAATATTTTTAAATCTATAGTTCTATTAAATATATTTCAGATGCAATGAATGATGCTGTACGTAACAAGTTCACAGACCCTTCTCAGAGAATATATGCAGATAGTTTACGCAAGAAAATATTGAATGGTGGTATAACAATGAACGGCATTAATGGGACGATAGCAAATGGACATATACCTCGTAATTATCATAATATGAACATTAATGTGAATCCATTGTCAGAGTTACAGCCCCTGAATTCCTCAGATGGATCCACTCATTATTCTGTGAGTAAAATATTTCTTCTGTCAATATTTTTTACATGCTGTTTGTTGTTTAATGAACACTTCAATTTATAGACAGGATGGTAAAGATGTAGTTATGAAAATTTGCTTTTTAAAATTTATTATTGAAATCAGAATATAGATATTTCTATTTTTCATCTATGTTTTTGAATATAAAAAACCTTTTATTTTGCATATGACACAATTTTTAAGATTTGGGTGTAAAATTTAGTGTAATGCTCTATGCAGTTTAAGGTAAGATGTCAAATTGTGTTTTTCTTTCTTTTTGATAGGAATTTTTTAATGCATTATATATCTGTGCATAAAATGTTTCTTTTAATCTACATGTTTTGATAATTATTTCTTTCTTTTATTTCAGTCCTCAAGTTTTCATCCAAATGGGACCCTCCCTTCCCATCATCGGACAAGTGACAATAATTGCAATAATATTAACCAATCAAAAAGTCTGCAGAATTCTTTGCAGCATTTAAACCACCATAATACCCCTAGTGTTGGGGATGGGGAGACTTTAGGCAGTGGGGAATCTATGGCGAATCCCCCGTCGCCCATATGTAAAAATGTGCCAATTGGTCATAATAGTGATGCGCTAGATAGACGCTCTTTATCAAATAGGTCATGTGACCATGGGTCATGTGATCCTTGTGACAGTTCTTTATCTTATGATGATACGGGTGGTGTATATAATAGTGGTCGTCATCGGAAACGACGACGGCGAGCACAGTGTAAAGAACAAACTACTAAAGATCAAGCAACTAACACGGATTTAAGCAGTAACGGTAAGAGTCTGGCATTATTTATGGGTGTAATATAAAAACATAATTAATACTTACATTCAATTAAAATATTGCACATACATCTAGATGTACATGTAGATATAGTATAATTTATTACCATGATAAAAGTCTTTCTTATTAAAGCTTCATAATAACTGGAAAATATGTGCCTGAAATATATTTTACTATAATTGTAACACATGGAACATTACTCTTTTAATTGTAATGTAAGAATGATTTTGTTGTATAATTTCTTTGGACAATCTTAAACTATTGCTATATGTTTTTACAACAAAATCTATTAAGATCATTTCTATTTTTAAATTGTGTAGATGGCTATCTTATTAAATGTCCTTTAAATGAAATAAAACTGTTTTTGTATAATCATTTATGTTATATCACTTTTTTTGTTTCGTTGCAGACGGCACGATGGAGTTGTCAGAGAGTAATAAAGCGATATCATCATCGCAAGAATCTGGTCAGTTAACTGATAATACTGTTACCGTGAAGACAAACTCTGAAAGTCAAGTGTTAGTTCCGTGTACTAATGTCGTATGACCTTGGCTCTACGAACATTTATAATTACGCAATCTGCAATATTTTAATTAACCTGAGATTCTAACGAGAATTTTTTTTTTCTTTTCAAGAATGGCAGACTTCTTGATGGATTTATGCAATGGAGTTGTGCATTTAAGTTTGCAAATCCCTCAGGAATTTTTTTTTTAAATAAACTAGATTTAAAAATGCATTTTTTTTTTGCATCAAGTGTTTATTCAGCAGAAACTGGACTGCAGCAATTTGATTGGTGCTTATTCATGTGATAATGTATAATACCAAATAATGCATTTTTGTGTCGACACAAAAAGAACAACTTTCTTTGGAAGGAGAGGAATTAATGTAATAATAGCGTGTTCACATTGTGAAGGAGAATCAAAGGCTTCGAGGGGCGTCAAATTAGCCATAGATTGAACAATAAAAGCGTCATCAAGAGTTAAATTTATCAAAATTCTTTCACTGACTTTCATTTTAACGGTGTACATTTTCAATAATCTAGCAAACTTATTCCATTTTATCATCCTTCAAGTCAGTTATAATTTTATGTTGGTTAGAAAAGTTCACTTCTTGATGGCTGCCCATCACAATAGATATTTCATAAGCTTTCTGTAACTTTGGGTATACATAGTCATTTTGATTTCTTCCTTTAGTCTGACAAAATTTTTCATTTAATTAGTATTTGTATGGTCAATACCAAAGATATATTAGATATAAAATGAAAATCAAATCTCCATTATTTTAGGTTACAAATATATTGTTTAATCACTAATATTGTTTATAACAATAGATTAATTGAAAGTTTATTTAAGGAAAAAAAATACTCATGAATGTAAAGGCAGCTTTAAATTGAATCTCACTTGGTAAAAAATCAGTATAGATTTTGTATCGTAGAATATTTTGTGGCCAGTTAAATTCATAGTTCATAATGTAAGAAAATAAAAAATAAAATCTTACGTATGTGTAAAAATGCAGATATGTAAAATATTATAGTTAATGATTTTGTGTAACAGCTAATAACATACAGATTTATATTACAAGTTAATTAATTAGTGGTAAAAAAATGGCAGAATTCTTGATGATTTGTAGATTTCCATATATGGTATAAAAATCATGTTTTCAGTATTTTGAGGTCTATGTACACCTGTTTTTTAGAAATCCTTATTTTCTTATGGGATGTTTTATCTTAAGAAAAAGACATTCTGACAGTTTTGCTTTTAAACTTGAAGAAACGGGTAAACATTTCTAGTGTATATTCTTGGTGTGGCAGTTGTTGGGATTGAGAAGAATGCAGAGGTGTCCCTTATTTTAGACAGTATCATTCTATGCTGTCACTTTGGATGTAAAAAAAAAAAAATCTTTGATATTTTTGACAGTTTTTAGTATTTAATATTTCTATCAGTGTATTTATACAATTAATCTGGCCTTGACCTTGAGAGGCTGTTCAATTGCTGTTCATTATCAATCAAAAGTAATAAATTCAGTATCAAAATACTCGGGGCAACAGTTGACAGGCTTGTTATACAGCATGGACGTGCAGGCTGGCCAGGCTCTACCAGTGCCTTATCTACTTTATTATACCACATTAAAAAAAAAATAGCAGAATGTCTTTTTCTTAAGTTAGACTTGACCTTTTGCCTCTGTTGTAAGAGTTAAGGAACATTATTTTTTAATTTTTCTTTGTATTTTGTGTGAACTACTTATGTTACACTACTCATCTGATTTATATACTTTTGACTACTTTAATATGTTTTTCAGAATGACTATAATTTACTTAAATCAATTTGAGATTTTCTTCTACAAGTTAAAAGATCAAAATCTTCTTAGCAAAAATTATTTTAAAAAATACACAAAGCTAAAGTTATCAAAATAACTTGTCATATTAAAGTAGCCAGGTATAGAAATCTGAGTGAGTAGGTGTAACGAGATTTAAAGGGTAAAGTTGTGTAAAGCAACCTGGGTATTTGCTGAGTAGTTTATTATGTGCTAAAACGAGAATTAACGTTTCTGTTATATATATTAAATTATATATTGTTGTATTTGTACATTGTTTTAGTTCTCATGTTTTCATAGTAACAAAAGACATGTAGATTTTCCTATGATTTGTAAGCTTTCTTATTTAAAAAAAAGTATTAAATATCTTTATTATTGAATGCAATCTTTTAGAATATTTTTTTTTTCAGTAAAAAATACAATAAAAATCTATTTTCAATGTAAAAAGTCACAAATATTTATCGTAACTATGATGTTTAAGGAATAAAGCATTTGAACAAAAGAAAAAAAATTATTTACAAAAACACATCAAGAAATGATTTTATTATATGAAAAGTTTCAGTGGTTTTAATTACAACTTAATATAATATACCCACACAATGAATTACAAATTGAAATGATTTGTTTGTTTTTTTAAGGGCATTTTTGATCTCATATTTTTATGAAGTATGCAATTTTGTTTTGATTAACATTACAAATTGTTAATTTGTTTAATTAATTTTTGAAATAATGAAATTGAATTTTGTAATTTTTAAAAAATAAGAAGAAAAAAACTCATGATTAAGAATACTCAGAACATTTGAGACTATATAAAAGCTTACATTGTAGTTATATTATGTAAACCTGATATTCAGTATTATATGTTCATATTTAAATGTTGGGTTGCTATGGTAACAGTGTGCAAATAGAACTGTTTATTTATATGTTACTTAACATTCATATATTAAGTAAATAAGTTCTAAAAATTGAGCTGCAGTTAGTATAAGAACCAGGTCAGACTTCATATATGTGCCGGTTGGCCTGGCTCTATAATGGCGGCAAAGGCTAATCCTGTTAGGTTCTGGCAGGGTAAGGAGTGAAATATCACCTGTCTGCGATTTAATACAACAGTAAAAGGCAAGTAGAGGTCATTGCCATGCTAACTTTTCATCCAATTACACACATGCGCCTCCTGTTTTACTTGTTGATCATTGTGAAAGGGTATTTGTTTTGTCTATAATAAGTAAACAGCATAAAAAAGAGAAAGATAAGTCAACTGGTGGTAGATTCTTACAGTTCTTTTGTACTTAAAATGACCATAACATGATGTTTTAAAAATTTATTGATGTAATCTTTATAATAATGGAATTGATTATATAATTTGAACAATGTTCTTACCAAATGATTGACTGTCAATTGAACCCCAACTTAAAACTGATTATTAAGACGGTAGTTTCTTGTCGAGTTGCGTTATATCCCAGCATTTATTTAAATGAGCTAGCTTGCTACCATAGCAACCCAACATATTCATTCACCACATCACACATATACTGTGTTTTTAAAAGTGTGATTATTTTGTGTTATATGTATAAATGATGTTTGATCACACATAGTGTTGACATATGACATAGTGTATACATGTCTAACAACACATGTTAAAATTATTTATTTGGCTGAAAATTCTTACCTATAGTTGGTCTTATCCAGATTTAAAAGAAATAAAAATAGAGGAGATAATTCAAGACAATGTCATTCCTTATTCAAGAATATTTATGCATATTTTGACAATGTGTTATACAAACAATATGTGTGATCATATATCATTCTGTGAGACTTTATGATAAAATATCGAGTGTACATCAAAACTCGGCCATAACTTCACTGACTGTATTATGATGAACCCTTGATATTTTATATTATGTTTGATAACTTTGATTATATGTACAGGATTAAACTGACAAATGTGATATTTTAGATTTGTATTATATAGGAATGTATGTCTGTGTGTTTGTTGTAGGGGGCGCTAGTTGTCGTATGTTTGTAGAGGGTGCTAGTTGATGTATGTTTGTAGGCGGCGCTAGTAAAAGGATAACATCAATAAATCTGCATTAACATCACAATTTTAATGTTCAAAATAAACATAATAAAAATTAAATTTGTTATTAAAATATTGTTTAATTGAATATCAACCGCTATTAATTTAAACACCATCAAGTCTTCGTAGAGATTACTATTGCCGTAGATCAATTTCATTTTAGCCATTACAATTTTCACTGCATAAAATACTCGAATGGATTAGCCAGACAAAGAAAATGGCATATTTAATTCATCAAATTGTTTTCATCTTAGCATAATATTTTGGCATAATTACATTTTGTAGAATAATATAGTGACATGCATCAGAAGTCTATTTGAAGTTTCCTGTAATCCTTTAATAATTTTTTTCATGAAAATTTCATTCTTTAACATGAATAATGTTCGTAAAATAAGAATTGTAATAATATTAAGTCACTACTGCAACTTTGGGAGGAAGGTAATTGTGAGATTGCATTGGTGCCTGTGAGGAGGAGCTTATGATAATCGGGTGGAGCTTGAAATAGTGAGAGAAACAGGAGGCGGAGCTTAGGTAACAGGTGTATTTGTGGTTTATTGGGTGATTGGAAGTACGAATCTGTGTAGTAAAACTGTTGTACATCATCACACAAACTAAATTGTATATAAAGTAATTTATAATAAATGATGAAAAAATAAAACATGACCAAAAACATTATATTTTGAGTTTTGTTATTTTTATATAATGATGTATTGCACTATGTTGAGAATTGAGAGGCATCCAGTTTCAAGTAATTAGATCAGGAGTACACTCATTCAGCTCAGTTGAGGTAGTCTTTGGTTAATGAGGGTCATCTGCCCATTAAGGCACAAAAAGCAACATTTGCTGTTGAGAACAGACCCCAAACATTTCAACAGTCATGCCCTTTAAAGGTTTAATTTTGAAGCACCAAGTGGTGATAATTTACCTCAGTGCAATTTCCACAAAGTATTTTAGCCAAAGATGTCGATTTTGAGCTGAAAGAAGCTCATTGTACAGCGGTCAAATAACAACTTAACATACAGTAACCCCACACAACACAGTGTAGGTCATATGGCGACTTTCAAGCTTTACTGGGGCCTGAAGACCTCTGGTGTCCCTCTGGGCATGAAAAGGCACCCAAGTAGAACCTTTGACGTTCTGTAAGCTAGCTGGAGATTAGAAACCACCGATGATAAGGCAAGGTACCCCTGAGAAGGGTTGTTGGTGCCTGGTTATATGTCCCTTCTTGATAGGGAAAAAAACAAGTTATCTTGTGGTTTAACCAGAGTATCCAAAATGTTCCTGGAGTGCCAGGTTAGTAACAATGTACTTGTATCATAGTTTGGAGACCTTTCTGTTGAAAATGTGTCGGAGTTAAATCGTATATATATACATGCACAGTGCCTTAACTGGAGTGCAGGTATTAGTTACCTGCACTCCAGAGCATGCCCATTGATTGGTTCATTTGTCTGGGGTTTACATAGTGTGACGAGAAAGGGATAGCGACAGAAATATCATATTCAGATGCTCGTTCATTGGTTACTTTTTTTCTGGGGTTTCATATTGTGACATCAGGAAACATGCTTTTATTTTTGACTATGATACAAAAGAGAAAGAACATCAAAACACTCGGCAATCAGATTTATACTAGGGGGCTATGCTTCTCGTACAAATCAGATAGCCTCGTGTTTCGATGCTCTTTCTATTACATGTATTTCCAAGGATTGCACTCCTGATAATGTCTATATTTAAAAAGACCCCCCACCCCCTAACATAAAACTGTTTGAAGGAACCTCAGATGTACTTTACTTTTCTCCTCAAATTTAGAGATGGACAAGCACTTAATAGACCAACTAGTCTTTCATAACACATGGCTACAAAATACCCAAGTAATGCATGTAGTTGTCATAATAAATGAGCCGTGCCATGACAAAACCAACATAATGGGTTTGCGACCAGCATGGATCCAGACCAGCCTGCGCATCCGCGCAGTCTGATCAGGATCCATGCTGTTCGCTTACAAACCCTGTTACAAGTAGAGAAACTGATAGCGAACAGCTTGGATCCTGATCAGACTGCGCGGATGTGCAGGCTGGTCTAGATCCATGCTGGTCGCAAACCCATTATGTTGGTTTTGTCGTGACACTGCTCAAATAAAGGTGACATCTGATTAATTAATAAATTCCTTAACACTGGCTAATAACTTATAGGCTTGTCCTTGTTATAATACATGTACAGCAATATGAAGTCATGAAAACAAATATAAGTTAATTTACAAAATAGTTTATTTACATGTAAATGTACAAAGTAGAAAAACCAACAGGTAAATTCATGACATATTATAAGATTTACCTAATTATTTATTCAGAAAATCCATACTTGAATTAACAGCAGAATTAAGGCATTATGAAAATGATTTTCATTATCGAAGAAACATTGTCAAACTTAATATAAATAACAAAATTCTATGTTGAACATTTATCTAAACAGAATTTGTTCGAATGAAATAATAAGAACCTACAAAGTTATCTTAAAAATCCATTATAACTTTTCATTCAATATCAACATATTACAACATATTTTGATAGAAAGATTTTTAAATTTTTAATTTTTTTAAACATTTTAGAAAAAAACAATTAACAAGAAATGTGTCCATAAAAATCTTCCATTATTAACAACTGCACAAAGCCTTAAGTTAATTAAAGAATTTTTAAAGCTGTGTGCCTCCAGATGAGCCAAATATTTCATGAAAATCAGACTTGAGAAAATGACCTAAGATTTTAAGAAAAGTGAAAATATTTAGGATTCAAGTAATGATCCACATGTTATGTATGATTTATGACTGATATAGCAGTATTTATTATCTTATTTCTACTGTGTGACTAACACAGTTTGTGCTAGTTTTTGCATATTTTGACATCTTTTTGGTAATTTACATGGATTGTTAAGTGCCAATTGCAATGTGAATATTACTTTCTTTATTCACAATATTTTAAATTCATTTTCAAGCTTCATAAATATGAGCATGAATCTGGAGGCATTCTGCTTTAAAGCAGCTAACCGGTATGTTACCCAGTAAGTTAACCAGTAAGTTAACCAGTAAGTATTCTCAGATAATAAATGAAAAGAAAGTTGCAGATAACGAATCAATAAAATTCTTCTCTGGCTTAGTAAACTAAATATTTGTCATCAGCTTATAGTCAAATAAACATGGAAATATAAAATTCCTTGTGCATAACTTGTCAAACATTTCATGAAATGCCTAAAATTATATCTCAACACATCATTTATCATTATGCAATATATTGACTGAATGTAATAGTGATGAAAACTGAAATATGAAGAAGAAAAAAACCAAAACTAGAAATGTAGATTAACCATGCCAAAATTTTACCAAAAAAAAATATTGTAAATGTATTTGTTCAGGTCCAGAGAGTATTTTTGGACCCTGTTTCTTTAAGTAAATTTAAAAGAAGAAAACAATTGTGATTAAATCATTTGCAATACATAATTACTGCAGAACATTATCAGCTTCAAAACATAGAATACTGATGATAACAATGGATTCTCCCTGACTGCACTATGACACAAGTGCAAATCATTGTTGAGCTATGAAAAATACTTCATAATCTGTTTGTAGACTTATTTACCTAGACCTAATCACCCTTAAACTCTTATCAAATGATAGACATACATTGCTTTAGTATTTACATACCAAAATTTCTTAAGACTTCTTTTCGATAAATAAGTATCCAATGGAGAAAGGTAAAAAAAACCATCAGGCTTACCTTTAACCTTACTCATAAGTAGCGGTTTCTGATGAACACTTACTTATAAAATAAAGATAATTTTAACCCTAATATGAAGAGTAGAAAAATCTATTTTAAGCATTGGTGGCCTTGACCTCATGAAGCTCAAAGTCAAAAGACACGCATAACATACATGTATCTGAATACCAGGTATCTAAATATGTGTTAGAAAATGAGAAGTGGCAACTGTAGTGTGAAGAAAAGACAAACAAGTGACTAAATGTTCAACTCAGTATTTTCAGGTAGCACAAAAAAGTATTTGTTATAACAATGCCTGTCTTGAATGATGTAAATACTTAATTTATTAATAGTTTTTAAATTTGTTAGACTAAGTGGTTTTATGATTGTTTACTCTCTGTTTGTTTACTCTGGGATTTCTCTCGAAAAGTTTTCTGCAGCACGTAGGCATCAGCAGGTTCAATCCTCTTGTAATAATTCTTCTTTTCCTCTACAATCTCAAAACCGTGTTTCTCGTAAAATTTGATAGCACCCTCATTGTTCACTTGTACATGTCTGAAACAGTGAATATATACATGTAATCATGATAAACATTTAAAATAAAGGATTATAATGTTATCATGATAAACATTTAGATATAGAATTATATAAGGATTTTAACCTAATTTAACATTTATATAAATGTAGTTGAAAAACTTTCCCAACGCAAAGGAAGAATATCATGAATAAATTTTGAGCTTCTCTCATGCTTTGTTTTAAGAGAACATTGTATTAAGCAACCATTTATGGTGTTTCCCTTGTGCGATCACTTTATTCACGTTTGACTGTATATTATAATGTAAATAAAAAGACAGTATCATAATTTTTTATGTGAATCCTAAAAATTACAGGCTGTATAATTGTTGGATTTTATGTTAAATTTTCCATCCAACAATTTTGAAAAATAACTTTAAAAATAACACAATTACATTAAGCCCTATGACAAGAAGGAATAAGCATCAAGTAGTCATAAAACAAGTAAAATGAACTAAAATCTTACAGAAAGACATTGTCATAATTTCCATCCTTCTCACAAATATTGAGTACATGTTCTAACATCACAGTTCCTGAAAACGTAAAATATAACATAAAATATTACTGTCAAAGGGAAGTAACTCAAAGAATAATAAATTTATAGTTGTTACAACAAGAGTTAAACATCTTTGTCTTTGCAAAGGTGGTGGTGTTGATAGTTTTCACTTCGGATCACAGCAGTAAGCCACATTGAATTTGCAAGAGCTAAGTTCAGCAACCGCATGCAGCATCTTTCCTGGGCAGGGTGCATTTCTGCACTACTAGTTTATATGATATCCATAAAGTAAATTCTGCAGTATATATTACCATTATTGGGTATCAACAGTGACTAAGAGATAACTTAAGACAACCATTTTAAATCAAAGAGGCTATTCATATATAAAGCAATCATAAGCTAACCTATCTTAGAAAGAGGTCTGATTTACAATTTAATGTATTTCAATATAACTATAGTAATCTATTATTTTAAGAGATAAATAACTGACCTATTCCTAGTCTACGGTATGGAGCCAGGGCACCTAGTGTCATTATGTAAAGACGTCGTTGATTCTCAGAATTGTCAACTCTACAACATACAGCTCCTACCACAATATCATTGTAATATGCTGTAAAAAAACAAAAAATAACAATGAATATATTTATAGTTAGAATAACAAAGTTACCTCTTGAAAAATGGAGGCATTCTAACAGACAAAAAGTTGGCTGGTCTGGATCCATGCTGGTCGCAAACCCATTATGTTGGTTTTGTCGTGACGCGGCTCAATTGGTCAGCCAACAGTAAAGAGCCATGTTAGATTGGACAGATGTAGAAGCTGTCCTGGCTCTAAACTTATCACTTTTGGTCCCAGCAGTTATTATAAATTTTCCAATGTAATGGCTATAATTCATATAAGTATTATTTAAACAACTTTCAACATTTCACACCCTGACAAATCTAACATTGTTTAATGATAAAACAGAAAAGTATACATTTAGTTTGAAAACCAGCTTCTTTCAATATACAAAATGTATAACAATTATAACATCATTCCTTTATCTAATTTTTGACTCCCAAGGTAACTTTTGACACATGATTTCAAATGCTTTAGTCAAAACATAGTAAAATCCTTGTCTTTCAATAAGGCTATTTTATGTTCATTATTGCATGAGAAAACAAGTACTTCACACTGATGAATTTATATTAAATAAAGATCCTTAATACATGAAAATACCTTACCTAACTTAGCTAATTCTCCTACTTCCAAAACATCTTTATAGAACTTGTCATTGTATGTGACAGGGAAGACAACTTGGTTTAACCTCTTTAACTGCTTAATGTTGTGTGGAGTGATGTCCCCTAGTTCAGTTCGACCACCTCTACAATGATAAAGTTTATAGAGTGAATGAATTTAAAATTTTCATTAAGATGAATAAAAAAATACCATAAAAACATGTAAGCACAATATATGCTATAAATAAATTCAAATTTCATTAATTTGGAGAAAAAAACATTGTATTTATATATTTTCACAAATCGAATTTAGAGGAAAGAAAGAATTTTCTTGAAATACCAATAAACATTTATAAGATGAACTGTGGCTGTCACCACCAATTTTTCCTATGAAAATGCAAATCAAAGAAAGAAATTTTAAACTAGAAATGTGTCCATAGAACATGGGTGCCCCCACATTCCACTGTTTTGTCAATCTACTGACTCTAGGTCAAATATTTTTGGGCTACATCTGACACAAGTTGAGCAAACCCCAAGGTGTATAACTACATATGCTGACAGCATTCTTGTATACTTTCAGGACTACAGGTCAAATGCTTTTTTAGCTATGCTGCTAATGCATGAAGCCATGAACAAGTCTATAATTTATAGTCAGTAAAGGGCAATAACTCAAACAAATCTGAAAAAAATCCACATGTAAAACACCAGGTACACATCCTAACAGTGATGTTGATCATCATTCCTGTGAAGTTAGTCGATTCTGACTCAAGCACTCAAGTTGGAATGGTTTTTACTAAGTCAAGGGCAATCACTCTACAAATACTGAATAAATCCAGTATCCACAATCCAACTCCCAAGTGCAAAACTACAGACCAACATTTCTGTAAAGTTCATGGCTTTAGGTCACATACTTCTAAAGATATACACATGTTAAAAATTGCAAATTTTTACTAATTCATTGCCAATAACTCTAGAAATACTGAATAAATCCGCAACCGAAACCCCTGGTGCACAACAACACATGCTGATCAACATTCCTATAAAGTTATTTAACTCTAGGTCAAATACTTTTTGAGACACATGCGACACAAATTGAAAATTTGAAATTTTTACTAAGTTAAGGGCAATAATTTTGATTAAGCAGAATCAATCCTAAAGCAAAAAATCAGGTGAGGTGCACATTCCTGTAAAGTTTCTTGATCCTAGGTCAAATACTTTTTGAGCTACTTGTGACACAAGTTAAAAATGACAAATTTTTACTAAGTCAAGGGCAATAACTCATCAAATACTGAATATCTTCATAAGCAAACCCCAGGTGCATAACTACACATGCTGACCAACATTTCTATTAAGTGTCATGACTCTAGGTCAAATACTTTTTGAGCTACGCACAAAACTTGAAACTTGCAATTGCCATAACTCTGACCAAATAAACATCACGTGCACAGCTTCACATCCTGAGCAACATTTCTGTAAAATTTCTTAATCCTAGGTCAAATACTTTTTGAGCTACGTGCAACAAAAGTTGAAAATGGCAAATTTTTACTAAGTCAAGGGCAATCACTCTACAAATACTGAATAAATCTACAGGCAAACACCTATGTGCACAACTATACATGCTGAGCAATATTCCTATAAAGTTTCATAACTCTAGGTCAAATACTTTTTGAGCTACATTTGTACGTGCAACACAAAAAGAACAGACTAAATGGACAGACAAGGGTTAATCTAAATGCCCCCCATTATTGTGGAGGCACAAAAATGTAATAGTATTGAAAAGCAAATGAATAGAATGCCTACAAATTTAATTCACTATTTGGTACGATTTTGTCGAATTTCACAAACAAGTGTTTAAATAAACAATGATCCATAGATCTACTTGAATTTGCTGACCTTAAATCTTTGTCAGTCCGAGTGGGGCAAGTTGTTATGGGTGAATCTTTATCAATTCTTCATTACTGTTATTATGTGGCGAATCTTTAACTATTCTTCATAACAGTCTAACGAATTATGGTGGTTTCCCCGAACTACCTGTTTGGCGAACTTAATTTATGAAGAGGTGCGAAAGTGGTTTCGTCGATCTTATGTTATATAGTAATTAAAGGCAAAGTAGACATGGTTTATATATATAAAGTTTTTTAATCATCAATATTTTGTTATAAATTTTAAAACATTATTTGTTTTTTCAGGTTTTACTTATATACGTGTATATATTTCTCTGATGTTGTTCTTTTGTATTGTGTAAAGCTTTTATGTAAATATTACTATTGTACTAAAGTAAATAATAAATAATAGGTTTAAATTTTCAATATCTTGTCTTTAATTGCATGAATTTAATGTCAACTCAAAGTCGGTACGCAAACATTTATGTAAATTAAAAGTCGAAAAGAGGCAAAAGTCTGTCAAAATGCTTGATAGGGTTACCTCCTCCTGTCTACAGAATGGGGGAATGATGGTGGAGAACTACGATAATTGGCGTGCCCATTATACAACAGATATTTCGCCGAAACCACTACCTGTTTTACTATATAAGATCAGTTTGCCAAACCGGTAGTGCGACGAAACTACTCTCACCCCAGTCTAACAATACATTTGTAAACATGGGGCATCATGTCTGTGTAGTCAAAATATATTGACGTGCCAAAGCTTGATTCTGAGATATTTTCGTTCTGGGGCAGAATCTCGCTTTAACGTCAAAACCAAAAGGAGACCTTTATGTGGTGAAACGTGAATTTCGATGTAAATGTGAAAATGCAGACAATTTAAACTAAGAATTTATTCAACAATACAATTTTAAGGAATAAACAGCACAAAAAGTGCCAGACTATCAACTTAGAAGAAAGTAAACCACGTTAGTTTCATTTCACCGTCTCATTTGTGTACCAACGCCGCCATATTGTGATGATGCTACAGTAATGTAACATGTACGCTAAAAATCGATATTGTTCGGTACCGTGCGTGTTGTTTCCTTTTATTTATTTTTTTGCGTGGCTAAAAAAACATGAAAAACTATTTAACAATGTTAATTATTATTTTTTAATGTTGTTATTATTAATTTTATTTATTGCTACATTAAAAAAATCGCCAGGAAGTAATCTTTAAATATTTTTCTAATTGATTGAAATCTTTAAAATGATGCGGATTTAGTCCTATTTTTTATAAGCATGTTTATTAAAGGATAAACAAATACTGTATTTCATTAAAATGTCTATTGTAACAACTCTGTAGTATTATCTGTTAGTATAATCGAGGATTTATGTAATATATAAATCACTCGTATAATTATGTTAGTCACAATTTGCTGCGACTCCTTGCCTAGGAAAGTTTTGTTAACGTGCATTACAGTACGCTATGAAAGTTGTTTTTTAATTCAAATGGTAAATTCTTGCGTTATTTTTTCATTCCTCAACAGTTTTCAGAAAAATAAAACTCGTTACTCCGAGCGCCTATTTTTCGTTTGTCTGTATCTGAAAGAACCTGTGTACATGTACCATTTATCCGTGTAATCATAGCATGCCGTATTGGCTTGGCTATTGGGTGTTGTTTAAGCGATGTTCCAGAAAAGTTTTTGTCCCGGTAAAGAAAATATATTCAACGTAATATTTATTTTTAAAATGTGTCAAATTTTCAACAACGCCGACACCGGTACGCTGGCCAATATACACTTCAGAAATGTTGACACTATTAATAATTGATGCGCAGTCCTGTTAATTCCTTACTTAATTTCTTTGTGTCAACTTAAAATTTATAAGATTAAGTTTTAAATAAATAAATTTTATTTATAGATAAGTATTTAAATTGGAGCCGTGATTCCTTTCCGGAATCAGTTAAACAGTTTTCCATGCCGACACGGTTCAAATTGAAAAGAAAAGTTATTTTTAGATTGTAATTACATGTGTTTATTTTTTCAATTTATAATTATGAATATACTTGATGATTTGTTTTAAAGACGATAATCTTATGCTTCAATTTCTTTCTATAATACATTTATGAAAATTGTTCAAACGATGGTAAGAATTTAAATGTGTTACGGTCCCGAGTTTCCTCAGTACAGTTTCCCGGCTTACAAATACGCTCTGAATTTACGCAAGATATGCCAACTTTTTAACTTTTGAGTTGTGACATTTAATTATTAGGAACTATTTTCTGGTTTTCTATCTAAATTTACAAGAAGGTTAAAATCTTAATTTTCGTTCTATATCAAAAACTAAAAAAAAAATATTGAAAAAAAAACCTGATGAGTCGCCGTGATTTCTAACCGTCTTTGTAAGTTCGTTTTTCAAAGCAACACCTTTTATATTTAGGGCAGTAACAATCTGTATCATATTATTGTTTAAAATGAGTAAACTTGTTGCATAAACCTTAAATCTTACAAGATTGGACAAGAATCAAAGAAATCACAGACACTTTGGGTGTGTACAAAGCTCAAAACGCCTTTAAAATCCAAATAAAATGTATATTTGTCAACGCTGGGGAGCCACGTTTGAATTTGTCGAAAGAGTTTGTAAATAGAGTAAAACGGCGATAATCTCGGTGTTTATTTTGACGTTGAAGTTTAAAATTGACCATCATTGTGAATAATTATATCCTCTGTGTCAATGGGACAAAGGATTATGTGAAAATATTGGAAACAGAATGAAATACACGATGTTTTGAGACGGTAGGTGTGCAGATTTTTTCCGGCGGACATTTTTATCTTGTGTTTTATTATAGACGTTGAAATATAAAAAAAAAATTCAAAACGGCTTATATTATAAATATGATCAGTACATGTGCTGGGATTGACAAATAAACATTTTTTTTTTTGATTTTAAAGGCGTTTTGAGCTCCACACACCAAGTGCCTGTGAAAGAAATAAGTGGCGCAGCGTTTTGTTAAATAACCGTGTTGATTGTTCAAATCGCACTTCGCCTGGCATGCATGCATTTTATAAAAGAAAATAATTTCTAAGACGGCAGAAAAGTGAAATGTGTTAAATAAATCTTTACTGTATACCAACATTATGAAAGTCTTTTGCAAACCAAAAAGCAACAACAACAAAAAAAATGAAGCAGGCACCTATTTCATGAAATAAATTTCCGAGTATTTTTTCTCTGTTACCACGGTCATCATACCTACGTGTGTGTGATTTTCTTTCTAAAAACATCTTCAGAAAGCTTTTTGGAGTAAACTATCCAGAATTATGGACTTGCGTGGATAGAAATTAAAAAAAGAAGGAAAAAAAGAAGAAGAAGTTTACATTCCAATGTTTTTTTCGCACATACATGTAGAGGCACCGCGTTTGACATTTATTCGTTTTATTATTGATAAAAAATATTTTGAACATTGAAAGTATCGTTAAGTAGTTTTCCTCTAGTTAATCAACCTGCGTTTAATAGTTAATCAACCTGATTATAAATAACAGACTGTCAAAATCCTTAGAATGGTGTCTTTTCGTAGTCACTATATGGCACTAGGAAAACGTTATATGTTATTTTGGTTTTGGAGTGATATATGTGGATATATTACCTGTTAAGATTTTATATCACCCGAGCCGTTAGGCGAGGGTGATATTTTATCTTGGCAGGTAATATATCCACATATATCACTCCAAAACCAAAATAATAATTTTATTACCCTTCCCCTGCCGAGTTTAGACGATTTTTTAAAAAATCATTGCTGTTTCAAATTTAACGTCGAAATAAGATTCCCTTCAGGGTACCTCTTCGTCACAACATGACGTCACATAAATACATGACGTATTTTTCCCGTACCTAACGAATGTAAACAAGAGAAAAGGAGTAGTCTATTGAACGCATTTTTTGTAATTAATATCAAGCTTTCACGAGGTCATATTTGTTTTCGATACTGATGGAAATATGTATAATTACTCTACTTTGGTAAATATTTATCATTTGACAATTAAAAAGTGCTTTTAAATCGGAATTTACACCGCGTAAAATCGAACTGTACGCGCATCACCTCAGCGCATATTGTTTACAACGTTGGGTACCAAACGGGGAAATTTAGTGTGTATATTACCCGTCTGGCTCGGTTATATCAATTTCTTTCGGGTGATCAATATCCAATCAAAAAGGCGGAAAAAATCTGGAAGGGTAATAAACATTGCTCTTTAAACATATAAACCTCATGTTTCAGCTCTTAACATATCCCTATATTCATCATAATCGTGGGAAAAAAATCTATAGATACCAATACGTTCCATCTCCTATATTTACTTGGAAAGCTGAACAATATATTTTTTTATAAACAAGAAACGGTTTAGTGAGAAGTCCGTTTACAGAGTAGCTATGATGATTCTGATATTTCTAAGAACGCTCTGACAATAACGAATAAGTTGTGCATCTGCTCCAATAAAATAATATTTTCATCCTATCATAATTATTAATTTTTGCATAAATAAATGTCTTTTAAAATATAACATTAAACTTGATATTTTACTAAGAGTGTTTCGTCGTTTCTCAGTAACGCAGTACCGCATACACACCAGTGTAGTTATCAACAGTGTATTTGTCACGTGACATTAGCGGCGATGTCTTTATTTTGATGGTGCATGTGTTTACTTTTCTATCAAAATCTTTATGTTAGGAATATTTTCACAAATAAAACATGAAATTGATGTAGAAATGAATAATCTTTAAAGGTATCGTAACAAATTTATTCAAATATGAATTCTAATACGATTTTACACGGTCCAAAGCTTGCGCTCAAAATCCCGGCGCAAATTTCACCACAGAAAAGGTACTTTTTATGTTGTACGTAGAGGCGAGATATTGCCCAGACACGAAAATAGCACAATATCTCGTCGCGCAGTACAATTAGTTGGACTACATGTCTGTGATAACGCCAATTTTAAACAAGTTTGTCAAAATTTCAGATTAAAGAAACATCCATCATTATTCTTCTTAATCATTTCATTTTCATGAAAAACATTCATATGACAATCAAATGTGATTAATCTGTATGACAATATTAGACAATTTGGAGATATGAAAAAAATGTCCGAAATGTGTCAATATCCGAAAAAGAAGTAATTCTTCTATATTGAAATCAGAAAATGCGGTCAACACACTGATTTTCTTGGATTATAAATAACGTTACCTCGTCATTTTTGATAGGTTGTCCAGAATTAACTTTTTCGATATAATTTTTCTTTACAAGATTGATTTTTTGGCCGAAAACGTGAATCCCGCCGGAAGAAATTTTCGGCGAGCTTGATTAAAAATAGAAAGAACAATGTTCGAAAAACTTAACCTGTTTACTGCAGCATGCGTTACAGGAATCTACCATATCAGTATGATCCATATCATTTGGTGTATTTCTTTTTCTTTCCTTTTGTTTGTATGTTATCGTCGTAATTTATTATGCAGTGATTATACATTGGGATCATGTATGATGTCATTTCTATATGCTCAATGCTACTCAAATTATTATTAATCGAGCACGATGGTCTGTTTTAACATTATGCCGAATTATTTAGTCAAATTACAGAATTATTACACGTTCTAAAGATAAGTGTCTTCTGTTGTTTCTCTGACTCCGAGGAATCACCCGTTTTCCATATTTATATTGAAATACACATCTAGCGTGGTGCATATTAGGTTGAAGAGCTTGTGCACGACATGAATTTGTTGTGGTACTTTTATAGTTCTTTCTATTTGACTTTTTTCTTGGACAGATAATCAAGCATCAACATACCATCGTCGATTCATACAGGTAAACTGAGGCCATAACCTTCCAGCTAATGGAACAGTATTTGCATTCTTTTGCGGGGTTGAACCAGGGTGCTTCGATTGGTAAGGTTGTTGTTTGGCCTTTGGGATAATGATGGACGCCCGTTTCAGCCATATTCAAAGACGTCTACAGAAAGTTAGCAAAGTCTGCACGTAAATGGTTCACATAAGCACACGAAATAGGCAACCGTCTGTGCTTTTGATCAATTGTACCCTACTGTCCTGGGGCCATTTTAATGCGATCTTCAATAAGTATGGAATGTACCCTTTCCTGTTGAATTTTCAATGAACTGTCTATATTATGCTGAATTATTTAGTCACATTACATAATTATTGCATGTTCTAAAGATATGTGTTTTCTGATGTTTCTCTGTCTTCGAGGGATCACCTTTTTCCAAATGTACGTTTTTTCTACATGTAAGTTGGTTTGTATGTTATTTTGAATATTATTAATATGCCCATTCATAAGGCAATGTTTATGACACACTCGGTTGTGGGGTTCACCTTCCTTGTCTGATTTGTCGAAATTATTAAAGATATAAACTGGTCATATACATATTTTAAGAAAATACGTGCCGGTGTTGTAAATATTCATGACTTGGTAGCCATTTTGAAAAGTTTGCGCAACGATTTTTATCGCTTGAACCTAGTGTGCAACCACTTCACGTCTTGTCCCTTGTATAGGTCGAACATGTCTATTCGTCATTGGTGCGAATCTGGAGATATTTGGCAAAAAGTATAAACCAAGTCATGGAGTCGACCGATCAGCCTTAAAAAAGTCTGTATTCTTAGATTTTAAGTCTTTGGTATTGACTTACCAGTTTTTCAATTTTTATACTAAAGTAGTCATGCTTAAATTGTGAGATTATTGAATTAAAATTTTGTTATTTGTGATATATCAGGTATCTTGTTAAACTTTGACACTGTTTAATGTATATATAAATTTCTTTGTGGTGATTGAAATGTAATTAAAATGTTTATAAAATATGGAGAAAAAAGTTCAACAAGGTAGAGTATCATACAATGGGCCCCAACACATCCCGACAACACCGGACCAACAGCAATGAACTAAATACCATAATTTATATAAATGAGGTAGCATTCTTAAGTCTAGTTTAAACATATTATATTGCGTCACATACATGCCAAATATTATACGAAAGATCAGTATATAACAAACAGCAAATGGGTTGTGCAACAAGTTCTAGATACATTATATTATCTAAACCCTTCCCAGAACGTCGACTTGACTGTAACATAATCATGACTTTTTCTAAGTAAAATGGCAAGTGGCTTTAGCAAAATGAACAAAATCGTTGAAAGAGCAGTGATTCAATATTTGCAAGCATAAGATTGGTCTAGGATCTAAGTTTAGATATGATAGCATCACTAGGGAATTAGGCCCCGGAATTTTGAACGTGACAGGCAAATTCTTCAAGGATGTCGCCAATCCTCGGTCTGTCAGTGTCGCACCACAATGAGTGGCCAATAAAGACCGTGATATGCTGATATGCTGATATGGCTGACAAGCAAGTTACAAAGAAACATAAAGAGTGATCCCTCGGAGTCAGAGAAACAACAGACAACACATATCTTTAGAACATGCAATAATTCTGTAATGTGATTAAATAATTCAGCACAATATAGACAGTTCATTGATCATTTTAACAAGAAAGGGTACATTCCATACTTATTGAAGATCGCAATAAAAGGCTCTAGGACAGTAGGGTACAAATGATCAAAAGCACAGACAGTGGCCTATTTCGCGTGCTTATGTGAACCTTTTACGTGCCACACTTTGCTTACTTTCTGTAGACGCTGAAACCTGCGTCCATTATTATCCCAAAGGCCAAACAACAACCTAATTAGTTCAGAAAAACGGGTGATCCCTCGGAGTCAGAGAAACAACAGATGACACTTATCTTTATAACGTGCAATTATTCTCGGCAACCATTTCACGTCCTGTCCCTTGCTATAAAAAAGTTTCATAAATTGTTTCTTAAGTTTTATCTCGGCCAAAATGCTCTGATATGAAATTTTTATGTAATTCTACAAAAACGTGACATCTTATTCATCCGCGGCCAACAACTAATGCTTAATGTGTGTTGTTTTTTTTGTGCTGAAAATATTTCTTGTACAAAATAACATCTCTAATTAATAAAAGGATAAAAATGCGGGTATCAGAGTGATATTGAGAAATTGCTTCCTAACTTCGACAAGATATTTCAAATGTCTGCACACTAAATAATGTTTAAAGTGACGGACTAAATAGAGAACAGCAGCAAATTCTCTCATTTTTCTGTAATAGTTAATTTCTGAGCATTCGTATACGCTATATACCAACTTCACGGCCATTTTTGTATTTGAGAAAAAAACGATGCAGTACCATAACAAGGAGCAGGGCATGAAACGGTTGCACACCTGGTTCAATCGAGAGAAATGGTTGCAAACTTGACAAAATGGAGACCGAGTCATGAAAATTTTGACGCCTGCCGACAAGTAAGTGGATTTCACTCGGTTTTAGAGTTAGTTTCCTAACTCCTGATTGAAGATATAGACTGGACATGTACATATTTTGAGATTTGACGAATGACTTTTTGGTTGGTTTTTCTACTCGTACATTTAACAACATATGTAACCTTTGAAGTTTATCCAACAAGACATGCACACTTTTCTCACTAAGGAAATGCATGAGTCTAATGTATGATTTAGTTTTCAATTTTATTAATCCAAAACTAATATTTGAGATAATAAAATGTTATTAGAATCTAAGTCAACGAAGCCAACTATTGTCAATAAGAAATAGCAGCCTCGGTAAACGCAGACGTTAAGGAATTTTGTTTGCATGTTTTTATCTAACATATTATTTTGTCAAGCAAAATTTTTATTTGTCAAATGAAAAACTGACATAAAATGAAAATTTTGTTATACCTTAAAAAGCTCAAACAAACCGAGCCTGCAACATTTTCAATTGTGCCATCTTGGGCGTTGTTTAAGATGTGTATGACTTTTCGATTTTCCATAAATTAGAAATATTTCTAAGTAAAAAAGGTTCTGAGATGCTCGCAATTCCAGAGAGCGACATCCACAATTTTCCACAAAAAAGACCTCTAATGGTATAAGAACCAATGGGTTCATAGGCAGCAACCTTGTATTACCAGCCTAAAGAAACAACCATATTGGCAAGGATCATGGACTTTGTCCTTAACTTATAACAGCTTATCAGCAACAACTACTACAACACATACGTTTATTTACAATCAGGTCACATGCATGCAACATAATGATCAAAAAGGTTTTTTTATTTTTCTAAGTGTGGGCATTTTAATTATATTTTCAAAATATATCCCGTCCGATAGAATGCCTATAGCTATAATGGCAGTACTATAAGCAACAGGCGGGGACAGTAGTTTTCGTATGAAACAATTTAACAAGATACAATGAGTAAAATTAGCAGTACTTAGGACCATGGACTTTGTCTTTAACACGTTGTCAATTTCTTTGATGTATAGACTACTTTCTCGATTTGTTTTGTTTGTCCTGTAGGAATTGTGCCGCTACGCCACCAACTTCAGCAAGAATGATAAAATCAAAAAGTTCTCTCGAAGTGGTTTTCTTTTTAGATAATATATCTTTTAAATATCAACAATTGTCTTAAGAACTTTATAAAGTGCCGTTTTATTTATTTTATAACATTTCTACAACTGTAAACTTTTAGGTTGCCAGATCGCTGGAAAACAAAAACGTTTCCGAGTGTGATTATTTCTTTTTATGTAACTTTAAAATAACAAGATACATGTATGTCTTTATACTTATTCTCACTTAAGTACGACATTCCATGGTTTCAATATCTTATGGCAATAGACAATTGGTTGAAATATATAAGCGCGAACATTCCTCCTGTTAAATTCTTTAACAATTGGTACTGTATCTATGATTTTATTTCAGCGCAAGTTTAATAGCTTCAGGGGGTCGAACGTATAGCGGTGCGATACTCCTTTAAGCGAGGTGAATTCATGCGATACGCCCTAATGGCGGACGGGAGCGAAAACGAAAGTGGGTATGAGCATGTTTTTTCCCCAAATATTTGTTGTCTATTGTTGTTTTTTTGAAGAATAGCATTGTGCATGCTGATAAGAACTTATAATTGTGCATGATTGTCAAAATAAAATACATGTGTACTAAATTTTATGGAATTGAGGAAGTTATTGAGGTATTTGTTGCTGCAAATTCAACCGTCAACCTTATATGCACATGCAAACGATTACTGTATCAGTCGTTTTAAATAGAGATATTCGATTAGTTTAACTCCCAACATGTTTATTTTTGAAAACAAAACGATATACAAGAGTAGTTTTCCATATCTATCCGAAAATATATAAAATATTTCCAGTTTTCTTACTGTACGCCTAATATTTGGTCCGATAAACCAACTGTACGCATAAATGTTGGTTTTTCTGTAGCAACTTCCTCATTACAGTACATTCTTATTCAATTTTGATGAAATATAAAGTTTTGAGT